TTGATACTCAGCATAGTATCTAAAGAGCTAATCTTCAATGATGCAGATTTTCTTTCTTCATGGCTTCCGAATAACACTAATCAGAGTTGGAGGGCCCAAAAATAGGTGAAAATTACTTACCTAAAGACAACTGATTATTTAAAGACACGCATAAACATTTCTCATTAAAACCCAGCTTAAAGTTGCTAACTGTACAGACTGGCTTTCTCAGATTCATCAACATGTTAACTAGGGCTAAGCAAAAGCCTTACTAAACACACAAATAAGATACCATTCCCACTTTTTAAGTAAGTGAAAATGTGACTTAGTTGAATTTTTTTAGTTGTCATGATAGAGACTGGCTGTGAAGACTATGTAGACTCCTTCCAGTGTAATTAATATTCCACACTGGCTGTCATAGTTTTATGAAATAAAGCACTGGAGGAATACATTACAGATTTCATTTTGCAAACAATAAACTAGAATTTATCTCACAATGAACAAGCAGATCAGAAAGGGCAATGCTATAAACACAAAGCTTAGAAGAATCTGTATGAAAGGACTCTGATATGAAGTCTGGGAAAATGCAGCCATGTGACCTACATCAAGTCTGCTTACTACACGGACTTTCAAAATAAGGCACATCACCATGAAAAATAATTTTCTAAAAGCTTTGTCACTCATTGTACCACTGTTGTTTTCAGTTAGTGCTCTCCCAAAGGCAGTTTCATTGCCCGGTGTGCACAAAGAGATACTGATTTATTGCAAATTTGCATAAGTTTTAGTTTAAGATTGTCTCCCACAGTGATAGCACTGTGCTTTTTAATCAGTTAATAAACTTTCATCTCCTGATCACTTCTCCAATACAGCCTCCAGCCAGTCTGTTAAAGACAGGGCTCTTCTCTCTACCTGCAGACCAGCTATGCATTCTAATTAATTGCATGTTGTCTCAAGAAGCTTCTGTCTCCAAAGACAAGCTTAGTCATAGCATTTCTGTTAAGGATTCCTCTAGTTAACCACGTTTTCATTTACAAGGATGATCATCTCAACCTGGAAAAAGGTAAATACTTGCTATATTTAAGGATACACATATAAATACTCTTAATAAGCTCTTCCTTGACTGACAACACTAGGATAGAAGATCACTGGAAAAGGGTCTGTGACTAGGCATATGTATGAAGGATACACAGAATAGCTCCAACATTTGTTGCCACCTAGTATTTTTGAGGAAAAGGGATCTCTAAGAGTAGCAGAACTCCACTTCGCCATGTCCAATACAAGCTTTTCATCAGTTTATACCAGACTTCTCTTTTTAGCAAGACTAGAGTTAAATCCAGCACATGATGACATCCTTTACACTACAGTAGCCTGCCTGGGAAGCTACTCTCAAGTAATATGGCATATGCATTTCTAGCACATTTTTTGCCCTGCAGACTGCGCATTATTTCCCCATGTAAACAAAGTCAGTAAACAGTATGCTTAAGAGATTGCAAAATGAAGTTGCACACACTACTTGATAAAACTATTTTGCGCAATATAAACTTGCTTACGCACTGTAGATTTATATCTGGGGAGTTGTAAGTAAGCTGTTTGCCACACTGCTGTTAAACTTGTCTGTTGCATTGTTGTTTTTGTTTGTTGGTTGGTTTGGTTGGGCTTGGTTTTTGTTTTTCTCTCAGGGAGAAGGCGCTTCATTTTCACTTTCTGCAAATGAAACATTGTGCCAATCTTGAGAATGGAAAAAAAAAAAAAAAAAAGAGAGAGAGAAAGAGAGAAAGAGAGAGAGAAAGAGAGAGAGAGTCTCACAAAGGTCACTTTTCCCTTTGCAACAAAACTAAATTACAGACTTCATACAGCAAATAAAAAGTGGCATACAATCTAAAGCAACCTGCTGTAAAATATAACAGCTGGGAGCAGTTAAAAGCTTCCACGCTCTTTCACTTTCTTTTCTGAATGCCTCATTTTGTAGAAATGTGCCTCAAAACTGGAGAGAAAAAAACAGCACACAAATGGAGCTGTTATTCAAGACTTGTGCTGTTTACTGCTTGCATTACTCTATATGCCTGCATACAAGCATGCACACATGTAAATATATGTTTAGTCTCTAAATATTATATTATTATAATACATAACTAACTCAGAATATTAACATTGTCTATTACTTAAAATCTTGCAAGGTATTTATTTTATTGTAAAATAATTGTATATAGCATATCAAAAAGGAAGTAAGAGAACAATACTGTCAATTAGCAGTAGACCCTAGCACACACCAATCAGTTATACAGTAATCCCTCCTCAGAACAAGGAGCAGCAGATGCCAGTATAACTGATCTGTCCTGGTTCTCCCACTCCCAGCAAAGTTCTCTCACTTGAGATTACAGGCTGCCATCTGCTGGCACTCTCACATAAATTCTTCTTTTGAAAAAAGTTTTCTTAACACATTGTCTTCTTCGCACTGTTTCTTTCAGAGCACATAGGATCACAGAAAGGCTTGGGTTGAAAGCAATCTTGAAGCCCACCCAGCCCCAACCCGTGCCATGTGCAAGGCTGCCCCTCACGAGCTCGGGCTGCCGCCCATGGCCCCATCCAGCCTGGCCTTCAGCATCTCCAGGGATGGGGCATCCACAGCTTCCGGGCACCTGTGCCAGGGCCTCAGCACTCTAAGTGAAAAATTTTCTCTTAACATCTAATCTTAAGACATTTTCCCTTCTGCTATCACTGTTAGACTGTGTAAAAACACCACAATTTCACTGATACTACAGCAAGACTAGTTTAGCAAAGTAGAGCTCTGTTGGATCACAGGTAGTGCACAGTCCTTAACAGTAAAGCATAACACATACAAATGCAATAGAAAAGCAATAGAGATGTTCCATTCCTTATGTATTTTGCCCTTCATTACATAAATCTGATCTAGCAGTGCACATCTCTGTTCATGGCAGGGAGTTGGAAAAGATTACTTTTATGTGTCCCTTCCAAGTAAGGATTCTACGGTTAAATGGATTTGTTTGGGGTAAAATAAGAAATACAGAAAAAAATTAAGCTCCACTGAAAATATTGTAAACACAGGAAGAACTACTACCACTATATAACAACAGACAAGAGCTTCTCTTAAAATGAGTTTGGAAAGCAAGTTTGCTTTGGTAGTACCAAGTATTAAAATTCACTGGATCTATTACTAGCAGTGGAAGAAATCTCAGACTTTAGTAACCATCCCACTTTGAATTGGGCAAAGTCTAGGCTGCAGCAATACTAGTGCCTTCCAACATAGAAGTTCAAGTGTTACTGTACAGCCTGCAAAATACAATTGTAATTTAGTGGAAAGAAGACTGGAATCACTATTATCCTTGTTAGCAACTTTATTTTAAAAAACAAGGAAGTACTATTACACAAAACACTTCCACTGACTTTCAGAAATTTTTAGAAAGTATTTATATTCTAAAGAAAACTTAGAACTATTTGAAGAAAAGAGACAGTAATTTATTTTTCAAAGAAATCATGCTGTTTGTTGTTGTTTTTTTTAATCATGCAACCTGAACCCTTCTTGTTATATTGTGCAAATATATTCTTCATCCACAGCATCTTTCACAAGCATCTAGCATGCTCCCTAAGATGTGAATGAGTGTGATGCTAAATTATGAAATCAGAAATACACTGGGTCATCACTGAGCATGAAAAACTCTGAAGAAAAAAAAAAAAAACCCAAACCTCCATGGAGCCAGAGAATTACACAGTTTTTCACTTTTTAAGAATTGGAAATAACATCCAGAATATAAAATTAGAACAAGCAGAAGGGAAAACAATAACCCGTGTCATTTAAGTTATTCTCTCAATAGTGAGTCATAACGGATTGTCCTTAGTTTCATGTTTTAAATGTGAAGATAAAAATCTTATAAATGCCCATTTGTGTTTGACATTCAAAAGGAGTTAAGCTAAAGAAAATCAGCACTGAATACCTCAAGAAAAGGATCTAAGGGAAAAGTTTGACCTCTTCATTCTGATTTAACTTTGATGATGTTCTATACACGATGAGGGCATTGCTATCTCACAACCCATCAGCAGGTAATTCATAACGAGATCAAAGAAAGGAAAATGCCATAGAATCATGCATAATTTAACGATTTCATCAATAAACAATTCTTCAGATAATAAAGAGAACTGAGAGAAATGTGGAGAAAGAGAAAGGGAAAAAAGACCCCATTTTTGCATCACATTGAAACTAGTTTGCAAGAAAAGTTTGGAATTGAGCACATACAGGAAATCAGGTAAATAGTTTCCTAGTTTGCATTAACAACCATGATAATCATGCACTTAAGTATAGATGCATGTAAATGTATACACTGTAAATTATACTTAATCTACTTGTGTAGGTTGCAATACTTCATGTTACAATACCAAACATAAATATTAATGTATCATCATAGAACATCTATACCTGTTTTAATTTAGCTCGTAAATGTCTGTTCTTAAAGAAAGACTAATCATAAATATAGAAAAATTAAGTATAGAATACATGGGGATTCTTTTTTTCTTAACTTGTATGCATTTCGCTTCATCTATTCCAGTCAACCATAACGTAACAGATCTTACAAAGTACAAAGTCTCATCACTGTAGGTGTTAAGCACCAAAATAAGAGGGCAATCAAGGAGAGCAGGGATAGAGTCAAATGCTTCTCTGAATTAAGGCATTAGTTGTGATACTCAATTTCCAGTACTTTTTTTTTTTTCAGCCTAAAATCATAAGTATGACAAGCATAGAAATGTTCATAATGTAATATGATATTACAAATGCAAAATTTAGCTGCCAGAACAAAGCTAAACTTCTTGTCTGTTATATTGGCTACACAATTGCCACATAGGTATGAAGAATAGGGACTACACAAAAAGAGTGTAAAGCATTGCGTTAAGTACTCAGAAAATAAAATGTGATTTTTTTAATGACAAAAATCAGTGACATTTTTTACTTTCATCTCAACAATGCAACTTAACAAAAATCACTTTTGGAGTGCAAAAAAAAAAAATAAAAAAAAATAAAAAAAAATTCTTCACTTTTCTAAGGCAAAGACAACAATTTAGCTCCATCCTTCTCTATAGTATGCCAAAACTAGGGGGTTTAATTTAGCATGTGAGCAGAGCCTGACATTTTTTTAATGTTGATCACATTGATTCATACTTATATCTCCATATCTATTGATTCTTATAAATTTAGAACAAAACCTATGGTCTATTACTCAGGCTTTTTATGTGGCTCTTCAAAGCTGATACACTGTAATACATTTACACAGAAGAAAGTGATCTCAACTTTGCTTTCAGGATGAATTACACCTTCCTCTCAAATTCAACTTCTTGGAGTAGTTCTCATGCACCACAACAGCATATGTTACACATTGTCTACTGCCAGTGGTAGGGGACAGGGAATATTATGAAGAGGTGTAGAAGTACAATGAAGTAAAAAGTGAGACCTAGTTAGCAGTTACCAGCATTTGATAGCCATCAACCTTAAAACCATTACTTCTTAGATGGTCCAGGCAACATACAACTGCCATCACTGTAAGCATTTATACTGGTTGGTAGCATATCTCTCTCATCCTTCTGTCACCAGAACTTCAAGCTTTTTGTTTGTAATTACTACTACTTTCATTTACCAAAAAAATGTTTTTTCAACCATTAAGAAATAAAGAACGATTTATAACATGTAACAATTAAAATATGGCAGTCTGTTCTCATAACTCTGGCTGAAACAAAGTAATTATAGTAGTTAGGAAAATACAATGTGTATAAAATATATTAAAATATTTCTTGCACACTGGACTTTTTAATTAAAGTGTGAGAAATGCGTAAATAGAACCAATGTCTTTTCACATGTAGTCAGTCTGTTCTTGTATGCTGATTGCTTGCTTGTAGTCTTCTATAGCTTCTCTACTGAAACCCAATTTAGCACGAATATCAGCTCTAAGTCTGTACATCATGGCATCATTAGGCTGAATTGACAATGCTGTAAAAATCAGAAATAGAATGTTAGGTAAAGAGAATCACAGAATTGCAGGGGTCAGAAGGGACCTCAGAGATCACCAAGCCAACCCCCCTTGCTAATGCAGGCAAAGAAGCATTGTCAAAAAGTTTGTGTTCTGATTCTTCTCCAAGCATGTTTTCATAAGAGAAAACATTACCTGTGCTGATGTTCCATGAAAAGGTAGGCAACTTTGTCACAACACTTATTTCTTAGATTTTGTTTTCTTTTTGATGCAATTTACACATCTCACCTTCAACACTGCCCTAACAGCAGAAACTATGCTGTCCTATGTAAAATGAGCAAAATCTTAAAGAGAAAACACTCTGACCATCCACATTTTACAACATGGCAAGCAACCCAATATCCTACTCAGTTTCTCTTTTATATAAGAAATACTTGGGAAATTGATGGGAAGTTTCATCTGCTGTTTTAAATTCTGCTTTAAAGAGAAAATTAGTAGTCTAGTCAATTTTCACTATTAAAACACCATGGAATAGTCATTAAAGCCAAGATGTAATTATTATTAGTCACAAAAACCAAGATAATTTTGATAAATCTTACTGTAAAAATAGCTAATTTTTCAAAAAGAAAATCTACAACTTGGAGTTATTCTTTACAGAAAGTTCACTGTTTGTGCAAACAAATGTTGTCAAATTAAAGTCTACTACTAAATTTTGTTCCATAAAATACAAACTAAATACAGATTTAGTTTCCAGGAAGAAGTGGCCTGTGTGTCCAGAGTTGCTGGATCTCTGGTTAGTACCAAGGATAGCAGTAGCAAAGAAGTAATATGGTTCAGCTATTCTGAACCTAAACAAAATGTTTCTATTTCACAAAGATCAAGATAAAATCATAGAATTATTTGAGTTGGAAGGGACCTTTAAGATTTAGTTACAACCCCTTTGGTATAAGCAGGGACAGCTTCCTCTAGACAAGTTACTCAAAGCCCCATCCAGCCTGGTCTTAATTCTTCCAAGGAGGCAGCATCCACAACCTCACTCAGTAATCTGTTCCAGTGTCTCACCACCCTCACAATAAACAATTTCTTCCTAATATCTAGTCTGAATCTACCCTCTTTCAGTTTAAAACTATTTCTCCTTGTCCTGTCACTACTTGACCTTATAAGTCCCTCCCCAGCCTTCCTGTAGGCCCCATTCAGGTACTGGAAGGCTGCCATAAGGTCCCCTCGGAGTCTTCTCTTCTCCAGTCTGAAGTTCTCTCAGTTTTTGTCCTCAAAGGGGAGATGCTCCAGCCCTCTGATCGTTTTCATGGCTTTCTTCTGGATCTGCTCCAACATCTCCATGTCCTACTTCTGTTGGGGTCCCAGAATTGGACCGAGGTGGCATCTCACAGGAGCAGAGTAGAGGGGCAGAATCACCTCCCTCAACCTGCTGGTCATGCTTCTCTTGATGCAACCCAGGATACAGTTGGCCTTTGGGGCTGCAAGCACACATTGCCGTTTCACACTGAATCTTTCATCAACCAGCACGCCCCAGAAATTCTTCTCAGGGCTGCACTCGAGCCCTTCTCCACCTAACCTGTATCTGTGCTTGAAATTGCCCCAACCCATTTGCCGGACCTTGATAAAAACTTGATTCAGCTCCTCTTCTCTACAAACCATGCTATTCTCCCACAAAATCTTATCGAAGATTAATACCATTTTAAAACTTGTTCTAGCATAAGCACACACTAAATTTCTTCCTAATACATGAAATAAGCTACATGAAACCCTGGTTCATGTCACCTAGAATCCTCATCACATACAAAAATTTTGGTACGTATTTTCCTGCACTTATTTCAGCAATTTTGTTTAGAACATGGTTCCGAACACGTTCAGCTGCTATGACAATATGAAGGTTTTTTTCTTTCTAATCCACATAATTCTTTATTTGTTCTTTATAAGATTGGAACAAAGTCTGAAATTAATCAGTCTTCCTCTTTCTAGTCACATCACAATATCAGATCAAATTAGTTAGAAAGCATTAGCAAAAATACATACACAGTTGCTGAGTTATGAAATAAAACCAAGTTGCTTACCATAATTTCCAGTATGCTACTATACAGTAGGTAAAAAAGATTACCTGTTGAAATGTCTTTCTCAGCTAGCTCATACTGCTTTAATGCATTATAGAAGTTTGCCCTGTTAAAATACACCGCTGCAGAGCATGGACAGAGGCAGACTGCCTTCTCAAAGTCTTCTTTTGCCTCTTCAAAATTTCTTAATATTGTATTTGTAACAGCACGATTCATGATAGCAGATTCATTTCTTGGTTCAAGATTTAGTACCTCTGAATAATAGCAATAAGCCTATAAAAAACATGAATTGGAGATAAAATAGACTGAATAAACATTCCTCAAATTTTAACATTCTGTTTAGCATTATTTGCACATAGAAAAGAGGCACACACAGCATCCACATGGCCAGAACAGCTGGCCCTACCTGATGAAAGTGATATTTCACACCACGGTTGATGGTTGGACTGGATGCTTTTAGTGGTCTTTTCCAACCTTAATGATTCTATACAGCACTGAGCTCATCAAAATCTGGGAGAAAGAACTATGGAGGAGATAAATTTAATCTGATGGTGCCTGTCTTGTCAAGTAACCATAATGTACAATGAAGCCCTGTTTTCCTGAAAACGATTAAATACATGCACGCTAATGGGTAGTAGTGAATGAACTCCTTGTTTTGCTTTGCTTGTACACACAGCCTTTGGTTTATATATTTCAAACTGTCATACGGTTTACGTATTACAAACTGTCTTTATCTCAACTCACGAATTTTTTACTTTAACCCTTTCTCTTCCACATCACACTGGTAGGGACAGAGTGAATGGCTACATGGAGCTTAGCTGCCTACCAGAGTTAACCACATCATCCAATACAGGGTCAGTAGTCACCTAGACAGACTTCTGAAAAAGGAACAGCTGGCTTCACTGAATTGTAAGTATCGCACAGAATAAATGAACCACACACTAGGGACAGTTTGGATTAACATACAAAGCAATTAATAGTCCAACTCCTTGTTTCTCCATAAAGAAACAGCTTCTGGGAGACAGAGTAAGGAATCACAGAACTATAGGAAAGATTAAACACAACCCTTCCAAGACAAGTCTTGGTGAATGATTCCAGACTCAGATAAAAAGAGAGTACAAGATCACAGGAGAAGCCACACGCAGGACACTGGCCTTGTAGGAATTTATGATCCATGTTTGACTAATTCTATTGACTGAGCAACAGGAGTCTAATTCAGAGAAACAAACAGGAACAGTAAATTGCTTTCTGACATCATTGATTTCTTGTGCTGTATGAAGTACAATCTCAACTTCAAACCATATGCCAAGTCTGTACTATACATGATGAATTTCTCAACATATGAATTACAGGCTGAAGTGTTTACAGATGCAGTTCTAGTATGGGATTAATTCAAGTTGATCAGAAGTGTTGAAGCATCTTTACTGGTTCCTACATTGCATTCCTACAACTGCTGGACTATAATGTTCTGGTCAAAAGCCTGATTTTACCCATTAAATGTGATAAGCAGCAAGACAGAAAGCCAAATGGAAAAAAAAAAAATAAAATCTGTAAGGGCCCTCGTCACAGAGAGAAAAACAAATGGTTCTTGCCTTCAAGTTTTGAATACTCCCAGGAGGAATTTGAATATTTTCTCTGTATTTGGAAGATGCATACTGTATTTTAGCAGAATTAGGTTATTTAAAGTCCTTAAGTTACTGTACTAACAGATGTAAGATCTGACTTCTTGATTGAAGCTCATCAGCAGAAGATTCTCTTAATTTTCTTCGTGATGGCATTATGGTGAATCTGGGCAAGTTATTTAACACACAGCAATTAGGCTTGAGGGAGCTTACTTAACATCAGTGAGATTTTGGTACCGTGCTCCATTACGAATTTCTGTGATGAGTATCTTAACTGTCATGAATCTCAATTCATATCAATGCTGCAATAAATAGTAGTAGAGCAATTACTTATTACTAATTACTACACTGAAATTAATGTCCTGATAGAGGATCACAAAAAAAAACAATGTAAAAAAGTGTCAAGTTAAGCATATTAGAAGACATTAATAAATATTGTAGGTACGAAGATAAGTCAAATAAAAAAGTTCTCTGAAGACAGCATAAAGACAGTATAAATTTTCTGAAGACTTACCTGTGAAAACTGATGATTATGGAAGTAGATATTTGCTGCACAGAAATAAGATAATGCATAGGTGGGGTCAACAGAAATTGCCTGTTGATAGTCCTTCATGGCACAGGACAAATGCCCCATTAACTGATTGATGATACCCCGATTTGTTAGCAGAGGAGCAGTAGTAGTGAGCTAGAAGGAGATAGCAGAGACACCCTTATTTAGGGAAAATTTACACTTACGTAGTAACTGTCATTTTTCAAAAATGCATTTATTTGAAGTAGAAGAACACTTTCTAATCCAAATCATCAATTGTTCAATGTACAGTATTGGCTGACCTCATAGAAATAGCTTAATCTTAGTAAAACCACTTTAATCTAATAGCTACCTTTAATGCAGCATTTATGTCTTGAAGCGCAGAAAAAACTTCACCCATCTGAAGAGACACTGAAGCTCGTCCTTCATATGCAGCATTGCATTTTGAATCAATAGCAATGACAATTGTTAACTGGTTCCAAGCACTCTGGAGCTTTCCAATGGCCTAAAATGAATTGCAATATGCCCACAATAAGAAATCTACAAAGTATCAAAAACCCTACTAATGGTCCAACTTAACAAAACTACAGTAGAATATGGAAGCATGCTTATATTTACTAAATTGTAAAATAAATAAATAAATAAATAAATTACAAGGCTTTGTTAATTGTGCAATAATCATTGACTTTATAACTATGCTATATATCAACCATACATGTTTTTTTTTTTTCTTAAATCATAGATTAACCAAATAGTTGAGGCTATTCCTAACTCCTTGCTGAAAACAGGATCATCTAGAGCAGGTCACTCAGCATCATGCCCAGCTGTGTTTTAAACAACTTCAAGGATGGAGATTTCACAGCCTGTGTGTAATTACTCTCAGCTTTAGCTCATCCTCACAGTAAAAATAATAATGATAATCTGACTTTTCAGTTGAATTTACTCTATTTTAGTTACTGGCCTTTTATTCCTGTCCTATAGCTAGACACCATTAAGAAAACCTGGCTCCTCTTTCCTCTGTGCTCCTCCATTATGTATTTTTATACATTGATAAAATACCCTCCTTATACTTCCAGATTTCCCTTTCCCTGTGGCAATAATACAGACTAATTGTAAAGGTGGAAAGCTAAATATCTAGCTCCCCACATCAAAATACTCACACACATGTATGTTTCAGTCCTAAGGTATGATCAGGCTGAAGAAAAGGCATTTAATGAGATTTAGGCCTCTTGAAATTAAGCACCTGCCATTACGTGAATTTTCTGGATTTCCTCCTGCCTCTGAGAGATCTAATTTCTAACTATGTGGCCCCTCCAAGTTTTTTCTCACACTATTTCACAGACCACTGTGAAAGCAGTGTACTAATACTGTACTAGTAAATCTGTAAGGTAAAGGAAATTTTTGACACTTGCGCCAAACAATCTGACCCAAGCCATTGACATTAGTCCCTCAGCTACATTGGTAAAAATAACTCCCAGCAAGATTCATGACAATTCAAGACATTTCAGATAAGTGGATATAATAAATCAGAGTACGTAAATCATAGGAATTAGACACAGAAGAAGGAAAACTGTCAAGTCATATTTTATATCCCTCTGCTAACATAGAATTACATTGTCTATGTAGTTAAGTATTTTTCAGTGATCACAAGCTCTTTTCCAAGGGATATTGTTAGATTTGCTAACATTATTACAGATAATTGGAACAGATAAGATTGTTTTACACCGATTTCCTTTTTTTGCCACTTAAATCTGTAAACAGCTCATACACACAAAATATACAAGTTCTTAATGTTCATTTACTAGATAATCAAATATGCAAGTCAAACATAAGGTTACTTGCTATTTCATTAAGAACAGATATACAAGATGACTGGGTACAAGTGTGGTCTATCCACTGATTTAGAAAGAAAACACACTACAATCTGTCTTAAGTACACAGATTGTTCTATATTTTGCATTTTGCATGGAAAGGATTGCCAGTCTGGTTCCTGGCAACCCTGCCCACGGCAGGGGGTTTGAACTACATGATTTTTAAGGTCCCCTTCAACATGAGCCATTCTATGATTCTATAGAAATACACACATAATATTAATTTTTATGTTAGATTATACATCATATTTACAATGAATTTTGATGTGTTACCTGCAAGTTGTACCCCAAGCAAATTCTGGCTTTCATACACATTGGATTCAGGTGAATTGCTTTCAAGAAATCTTTCTGTGCCTGTTCAAGATTAGCCTCATGTCCTTTTTTCATATATGAATTTCCTCGTCCAATATAGGCTTCCACAGAAATGGGTTCTAGTCTGAGAACCTGATTAAATGATCTCACAGCGTCTTCAAACTCATTAAGTCTAAAAAAAAATTAATATTAACTGTTTAATGCTTACAAAATTTATAAACAAGACTGACGTAATGCCTTCAAGAAGTAGTTCAGCTCTGACTGAGAATACTCTATTTCTTAACTTTGCTTTCTACATGTGCATCTTGATGGTTATTATAAACAGAAGACAGTCAAACATCGGTTTAAATTCCTTGACCTGAAGAAGAAAGCAGCAAAACTCATTCAACTTCTGCTGGGCAAAGATTTCAACTTTTCATCGTTTGTCCTGAGCAGAGTCTAGTAGAGACTTCATCTGAGTCATTCACACTATCCAAATCTCATGACCAAACATACTTTTGGCATTCTGCTCAGGCAGAGGTTTTCAGTCATAAATCATCTACATCTAAGATTATCTGACTTCCCTCATATCGATTCTTAAAATTATCCACACTATGTTAAAAACAGCAGGGCAAAAAAGAGCCAATATTCAGCCAATTCTAGTTTTAGGAGTAGGCCAAATGTGGAATTCCATCCTTAAACAATATTTTATATATCTGGAGAGTATTCCAAGTAGAAACAGAATTCCAGAAATACCTGACATATCAATGAGTGCTAGTAGGTGCCTTTACATACAAAGCAAAAATTTCAACATGTCAAAATAAATAAGCATTTCACTGAGAAAAAATTGAAAGATGTTCTTTGATTATAAGCTACCTGTTTTGAATCTACCTGAAGAACAGCCTGACAAAAAAGGAAAGATTATAGACAAAGATAACAAAGAAACAAAAGGATAAAGACTAAATGTTGTAGATTTTCTTCCAAGTAGAACAACTGTTGCAAAAACAAGCTTTTAAAAGTTTATAATAGATGAGTTGCCAGTGAATCTTTTTATAGCTATATATATACTTATATATATATATATATATATATATAAACACAAACTATTTTTTAGAAGCAGGACTCAGCATTGTGTTAATTCAGAATCATTCAGACACTGAAAGATGGAGCCAGCAGTGCTTTAACTACAAGCACAGTAACACAAGAAGTTTTAATGCTACAAACCTGAACATGTCCACTTCCAGACTACCTCAGAAGAAATAAGGTTATACAGAGATAGATGACACAGTAACCTTAGGGGAAAAAAAAAAAAAAATTGACTAATAGGTAGAGAATCATTAAAATTCCCTTTTTACCCTAGGTGATATTTGTGTGAAATGGGTATGACTGACTCCTTGTGTCACTACAATAAGCAGTCCTCTCTACCACTTTTCCTTCTCTCCGTTGTCAGTGCCCTCAATATGAAAAAAGTAAATTTTAGGAATTATTTCATTTTTCTACTCTGCACCAAAGTTACATATCTTACCGATAATGGCAGGTTCCAATAACTTGAAAGATCTGGCTATCACCTGGACTAAGCAGCACTGCTTCTTTCAAGTCCTGAAATAAACAGATCCAAAATGAGAATTTACATTGTTTCACTCACAGTTCTACACCTCCACAGGAAAAGGGAGATAACTTCTGATGTTGGTGCATATCAGAAGTACTGCATAACTTAATTGTTTTTCATATTTTATGGCCCGTGCTCTGATAGAATGAAACCTCTGACGTTATGATATCACAGTATTTCTCACAAAGCTGGAAGTATTACCTCCAGGGGGAGGGAAAAAAGCTTCCCAGAGGGACATTGTTTTTAATAAAAATGATAGCTATTCTTAAAGACAAATATTGAAAGTATGTTTTGCTACATGCAATTTCAACAGAACTATTTTAGTAAGAAAATTATTTAATTACCACTTTTTCAAGTTACAGTAAACCAAATTCATATTTGTATTAGAACTCTACTCACAATGTTCTAGGGAAGGACATCCTATAAATTATTATAAATCACTGTTCCAGGGCTTTTAACTTTCCCTTTTTACTAACACTCAAAGCATTATCAAAATGCCTGTGGCTTTCATACTCATAGAATCATTAACACTGGAAAAGCCCTCTAAAATCTAGTATTGTCATCCCCCTACCACCCACATAGCCCACTAAGCCAGTTTCCAATTGTAGTTTCCTTAGTGCTCACCGCTTAGTGAGTTCAATTGCACAATTGAACGATAATGTACTCAATTGTAAAAACCATAAAAGTGATTTAAAAATCAAATGCAATCATTTCAGTTAGGATGAAAGGAAGCACTTCAGGACTTTTTAACAGGAAAGAAATCAGTAGGCAGTAGGAGTGGTTTAGCTGATGTATCCACTGAATTACAAGTCAGAAAGCATTTTCTACTTGTGCAAATTTAAAAGTGTGGAAGAAGATTTCAGTACTATTAGATTTACGAAAGTGACAAAATACTTTGATATATGTATGTATGTATGTCAGTTAAAACATTTCTTTCACTAAGCATGAAATGCCATCATAAAATTATATCACAAAAACTCTAAAAAAAAAAAAAAAAAAAAAAACCACTATTGAGCAGCAATGTTCCAACCTACCAAGCCCTGTCAGTGAATTCCCGAAGCTAATGTGATTCTCTTCATGTGTACAGTTTGAACTATGCACTCTGCTGCATTCATGGAGCACAGCAAATGCTGGATCATTCCAAGGATTAGGTTTGGCTTACTTAAACCAGAAGTCCTACCCTTAAACATCACCACACACTCTTCATAGAATCATGTAGAAAAGACAGGCACCTCTATGCATCAATTCAGATCTTTCATAAACTGAACTACAAACTTTGTCTTTCTTCCAGTGTACACAATTCAGAAATACCTTCACTTTGAGTAGAGGTAAAATAATTACATCTTATTTCAGCAAGCACTATACATGTATACAGATATACCTTAATGAAGTAACAGAACTGATAGAGCTCTAGCACATTTATAATCACTGATTCTTTTCTTAAATTAGCTAATATAATTTTGTGCCTATTTTCAATTGCCTTTTTAAGATTTGTCTTCCTTATAATCAAGTAATTCTTTGCTCATCCTGCTAGTTCTGGTCCATTTCCTAATCTCCTTTTACTCTCAGCATCTTTCTGAACTGTATTGATCAATTTCATCCTGAAGCATGACACCAATTATGCAATGTTTCTACTTATTTCTAAATAAGGTCCAAGGTCTGCCAACTGTCAAGAGCTTTTAGCACACGCTTCCAGATATTTTTGAGTTAATGGAAAGGGATTAATATTCTTTCTTTAATATCTCTTTACAAATCAGAAATTAGTCATTACTCAATTTTTAGAATGCTTATATTGACATTGTTGCTATCATGTGACAAAGATAATGAAGTTTAAAGCTAACAGTCCACAGCAGTCAATGAATGCACCAACTACTGCTAAAAAAAATACATATACATATATTACTTCACATGCCCCAAAAAAAGTTTTAGAAAACTTGCAAACTAGAACTGAAAAATAAAAAACTTGTATTTGAAAAAGTAATTTTAAATACTTAGATTTTAAGCCTGCTGCTACAATACCAGGTGGAGTCCCACTGAATGAGTCATCTGCACTGTGTCAGACATTTCTTTCTTGAGATCTGATGCTCCCTGTCTTTCAGTAAAAGTCACTTACACACACAAACATAGACGAAGAGAAAACAAGCTCACACAGACAAATTCCTGCATTTACTTTGGATTCCACAATGAATCAGTACTTATTTAGACCTAAAATAAATGACAAAGTTGCATTTTGTTTATGTCTGCTTTTGGATTGTTTGTTTTTGTTTGTTTTTGTTTGTTTGTTTTACAGAAAGGACAAGTCAGTTGTCATTACATTAATTTCTTGCAATTCTTATGCTCAACTCCAGCTGTATAAAATTGTAAAATGGCTAGGACTGCCCTATATTTGCATATTCACTGCCTAGTTTGGTATTAGATGCTATGCAAATTAAATAAGGAAACCTTAACTATTTTAGAAATACTAAATCTGGCAAATTTATCTCTATGTAACCAAGGGCTCATAATTAAGAGAAACTCTAGATTTGCTCTACACAAAGAAGGATTCATTTGCTTATTTATTTTACCTCACAGGCATTAGCGTAATCACCAAGTTCCATGTAGAGTAGTCCACGATTGATGAACACTTTTAAAACTATTTCCTTATGCTCCTCATGCAGAAGAAAAATTCCGTAATCTTTCAAAGCCTGTGTAAAATGTTTTTTTTTTTTAAACAACTGTTTATTCAGAGAGATATATACATTGCCTTCCATAATTACATAGATATCCAAACCCAGAGTACAAAATTAAAGATAATATAGATATATTAAACAGACTTCATTAAAACTCATTTTGTTATTTCAATTTTTTACCAACACTCAAATTCATAGTGGCTTCTACTACTAAATTTTTTGTCTATATTCTTATTTTTAATATTATAAATGCATTATTCTTTATCTATTATTGAAATAAGGTATTTTTAGAACTATTTTCAAATAATTTTATTTTTACTGAAAAGACTAAGCACTACTTGCATTAACTGAATTTTTCTTTTAATTTTGTGAAGTAGGTATTAGCAACAGAGTGATCATGTGATGTTGTAAAATTGTGTATTGTACCTTTCTGAAATTCTTTATTTGATGATAACAGATTGCTCTGTTATAATATGCCAAAATGCAGGTATTGTCAAGGACAATAGTTTTTGAAAGATCCTCAATTGCAGCTTTAAATGTCTGGAAATGAAAAACACATCAAATACAAATTATAATTCACAGCATCATATATTCTTCCTGAAATAATAGCATTTTGTAGAATTTGATTTCATAGTTTTCCATTCTTATTTCTTCATCAGTACTGGAAGGTATCATTTCACCAGAAATGAGTTTATGTAAAGGGAATGCTTCTTCAGAAACTCTATATGGACAGTCAGGACATCCAAATCTTTTTTAGTGATTGCTTAGAAAATTTTCATATGTTGCAACACATAATCAACCTTTAATTTTTCTGGTTTATCTTTTAACCCAAAAAGTATATATCATGCCTATTATTAAGTGAGAATCTATGCCAAAGAACTTCAGAATAGAATATGCAGATAGATGCCCAGTAGCTTGCTCAATTCATCATTAAACTATACAGATCAGAGTGGCTTCAGGCAAGAAAGCAACATAATTATTAGGTTCCATTAGTAACACTGGTTTCCAAAGTTTTACCATTATTTTACTATTATGAAGTGATAAGTAAGATATGAGGGCTGCTCCAAAAGTAATGCCTCCTATCTGTTTCCATGAAAATTATAATAGCGTTGTAGTGTTCTCTGTAGCTATTTGATTAAAAAAAAAAATCTCATTTACAAAACACTTTTTTCCCCCCAGCATAATCACCACCATTAGCTGTGCATTTTTGCCAGCATTGTACAAGAGTTTGCATGCCACACTCACAGAAGTCTGCCTGCCTGGACATGGGTTGTCTTTCATACAAACATTGCCACTGCTGAAACATACCACCCACTGCCTCACTGTGCACACATCCACTCTTTGGTCTCATCAGCAAGAACTGATGAATGTCAACAAATGCAATTTTTTTTCCACATGGAAGTATTTAATTCCATGCCCTTGCTTCATACACACTTCCATGTCAGACATCATTGTGTCAGAGTGCCCCTCTGCTGCCACCTGTCACATAGCAATAACAAGTGATGGAATACTGGCAGAGGGTTCAACCTCTACTGCTATTCCACCAATAGCTACCTCTGATGTTGTGGGCCACCATAATAAAATAGGAAGGATTACTTTCAGCGTGGCCCTCATTCACTGAGCTCTAAGGGAGAAAGCAATAGTACAGCAACAAGAGATACCTACCTTATTTTGATACTTCAGTATTCCTCGGTAAAAATAAGCTTTTACACTGTTGGGATGAATTTTGATTGCTTCATTACAATTCATAATTGCCTTAGAATATCTGCCTTTACTTCCATAGTAAGCAGCACGACCCATATATGCCTATAGAATTAAAGACAGAATAATGCTAAAAGAAAAAAAGCTGCTTATTTAAGGCAAGGGTTAAATAAAAGAAATAAAAAAAGCTTTATAAAAATATCATCATTGTGCTTGCTGGTAGATTACAAGGCAACATACCCATAAATGCAGAACCAGTCATACTCTGAACCCATACTAACATGCCACAAGGAAACAAACCATCAGGAGTTTTTATATTACCTGGAAATGTGATGGACAAAGTTCAAGTGTATGATTGAAGTCTTGGATGCACTTTGTTTGTCCGAGTTGCATTCGACACAGCCCTCGTTGATAAAAAGCATCAGGGTAACTTGAATGTAGTCTGATAGCCATACTAAAAGCATCACAGGCCTAAAAAAAATTACATATCATCTGACTTAAACAGTTGGTTTGTACAGCTGAAACCACAGGCTGCCAAGTAACTGATTCATTTTTACAGGGAGATTATATTCCAAATGCATAAATAATTTATATACGTGTCCACTTTTTTATTGTTTTTGCCCACTGCAACTTAAAATGCCCTAATAGCACAATCACAACCACAGGGAGGTACAGTCTAACTCATTTTATCATCTTCAGTGAACCTTATAAAGCACATGGTCTTCTGTCTGTAAAACCTGAAATTGTGCAATTATTTATGACAGTGGTTGATGTGAAACTCCTTCATAATTCATCCAGGCATTTTTTTCCTTCCACACTGCTCATTACACAGTCATGGGCTTTTCCAGGATGTACAGCTATAATATTAGATGTGCAATGGCAGAGTTAACTTCATCAGTGGTCTGGATTATCTGGTGTGGTAACATATGACAACTTTGAAAGCTTTCTACCAAAAGAACGTCACTTTGACTTACCACAATTCAGATCAGAGGCAGACACAGAAAAACATTGTGCCCTGTGAAAATTTGATGTTTCAAATGATTCTAGTTACAGTCTTGAGCCTTTGGTAAATTAGCTACTGACACATATTTACTAAAATATCAACATAGAAAACATTTTCAAGAACCCGCCCTAAGCCTGCCACAGAGCTCACAGGTAGACTTTAATACTTTTAATGTTTTTTTCAAGAAGACTAATTGTTTTTTTTTCAATACCTCTAATGTGTGGTATTGATTTTATTGAAAAATGTTTATTATTACTATTTGTTTTGTTAAATATCATATGTAAGTTAAGTGCCAAATAGAACCATCTAGGGAGTGTTTTCAGCTACAGTAATACAAAAGACAATTTAAATACAAACTCCATAATTAATAGAATAATCTAGGATTTCCTTTGTCTAAGTTCAGCACTTATTAACAAAGCCACTAATTACTACATGAGTATTTATAAGATCTGTGAAAGTATTGATAAGAAAGAAATTAGTGCCACTTTTTAATGATATCAGAATATGAATTATTTTCATACATTAAAAATCAGAACGTTAACACTGAAAAATGATTCACAAACTCACAAGACAATCTAATGTACATCATAAGTTATAAAGAATTGTTAAGGCAGTTAAGGCTGTTGGAAATACTGAAGTTATCACTTCTGTCTATAGGCACTGGAGCCAAACAAGTCAAATATATATAACGAGTACCAACCTCTAATAAATTTATTTGTTCCATATAACACAAGCCCATGAGATAATACATTTCTGCAGCTTCAAATGTAGGAGGAAGGATTTTTTCTGAGGTCATCAGCAGATTTATAGCTTGTTTAAAACTTCCCACAGCATCCTACAATACAGGGAATTTTAAGAATTTTAAAGTACTTGAGTGAAATTTTTAAATGTTTTAGTCTTTGAAACATAAATGCAAAAATGACAAGTACAAAGATCCTTAATGCTGGAGCAGCATAGCCTGATGTCTGGTCATTTACTCATATTAGAAGAATTGTCTAATTCCTGTCCAGCAGTGAGGCCCCCCCCCGGGACTAATACTCTGAGGAATCAGGGTAGGACTCTAATACACATCTCTTAATCGTGACAGCTGAAAGTTGGATCAGATGGCACTAACAATTGCCATCTTCCACTTAGCATTCTTTCAAAGACAGTGGAAATAATATTGCTCCATTATGATTTGAGACTAACAGAACACAAAAGCTTAACAAAAAACAGTTGAATGTGTCAAGATATTTCAATTGATACAAGCACAGAGGAGTACAGTCTTCGTGTACAGTATACCTAACATTCATTTAAAGAAATGCACAAACAAAATCTAAAATGAAACAGAAGGACCATGCAGGTCAAATACACAACTCAATATATAGGTAGATTCAAGTCACTCTTGATCTACCTGTTGCTTGCTGCTTTTATTTAAGGAAACAAGACTCTGTATATTCTGCATAAATACATACTGTACAAAAAGAAATTGCATATCCATAATGCTGATTTCAACAATTCTGCAGGCTTCAAGCATTAGCTAACTAAATGAGCCAGAGAAGTGACAGCATTAGTTAAATCTTATGACATGTAAGTATTCAAGAAGTTGAAAAATACTTTCAATGTTATATATTCACTACATATACATTAATGAAATATTTGTACAGTAATTAGAAAAAGAACACTAGATATTATAGTTATTTCAGAAAAAAGAAAAATTGTTACATACAGTTATAGAATAAGGTCAGTTGTTTAACAAAAATATTAATAATTTATTTTAACAAAAATGTTTTAAAATTCAAATTGCCTAAATTATGCAGAATTGCTGTTATTGAAAAGTTTTACACAGGTCTTCTTAAATTTTAGCAGTAAGGTGCACCAAAGATTTATTTACATACTAAGATATCAAATATTGAAAGAATTAAGAAAAAACATTGTCTTTCTTGGCATAGGAGTATAACAAATCTTTCTAACCTCTATTTTCTCAGCTTTCATTTGCATTTTTCCTAAGAGGACAAACACTGAAGGCTCAGGTTGAGTTGTAGCAGCTTCACGTAAGCATTCGATGGCTTTACTGTGATTTTGACAAAATGACTGTATGAGTGCTTGCTGAACAGGCTGAAACTGAAAGGACACTGGAAGAAAACCATCACAGAAAATTATAATCTTTTACTTCAGCATGTGTTTTCCAGTATAAAATCTCTTTAAATTACATGCGAATTTCAGAATATTGTTAAAATAGTTTGTTTCAAAAGGACTAACAAAATTCCATATAAAAATCTCAGGCTGAACAATTATTAATAAGCAGCTCAACAGCTAAACATCCACAAACCCTCCTCTCCCCGTATCTAGGAAGTCTGTGCTATGTTGAAGTATCACCACACACTTGCATCATTTCTGTATTATTATACTCTGCACCCACAGTTTGTCCCTACCAGAGACAGATCATTCATCTTGAGTAGAATAGGTATTGATATGGATTTCTAAATAACTGTAAGGATGCACTGACACTGACACCTTATGCTCATCACATAAAAAGGAACTTCTATACTGCAACATTTTTACTGTTCAAATGCATTGCAGAGGCTTAATCCTGGAGCTATGTAGTATTCTTTAGGAAGGACCATAAAGAAGTACAGTACAGAATCCTTACTCAGTATTCCTTTTAAAGCAGAAGTCACCAAAATTGAAGGAAGAAAAAGCACCAAAAAACCCACCACACAAACTCAAAAAAGAACACCACCACAAGAACTCAAAAGAAAGAAATTCTGAAATCACAGGAGGTAATCAGGAAATAATGTACATATCAAGTTATCATATTTTAGCTGATTCATGATAACTAACCTATTAGAGCGCTTGAACTTTTTTTTTTTTATAAAAACCATAATTCCTTGATTAGAGATCACACAACAACACAAGCAAATTGACATTACCTTCATTCATTTTTGCAAGTTGATGAATACATAAACTTGCCAGCTCATATTTCCTCAACTCCAACAAATACTGTCCCCTGTAAGGAAATATTTGTTGGATGCAATTAGCAAAGTTCTTCCCAGGTATTTCTGTCAAAATGCAAATGCTGCTGCAATATATTTTCTTTTATAGAAAGAGAGAAAAAAAATGAGAAACAATGCATTTCAATAAAAGCATTTGAATTTTTTCCTTTTTATGACCATCAGAAGTATATATTCAATTTTATTTTTTTCCTCTAACATAAAAGCACCAAGAAACAATATGCTTACTTTGCAGATTGTAGGAATTACAGAATTACATTTCCTTTGAGATTATATTAACAGGATGACATTATACAGATAAAGTTCCTAAGGTTTGAAAATGCCATTAAAATACTTTTTTTTTTTTAACCTATTGAGAGCAGGGTTCAAGGCACACAAAGCATCTACCAAAACATTTTCAATGGGAAATGCTGTAAGGGTAAGGTACATTTAAAGACTTCCACTAAACACTTTCCTACCTTAGTATCTGCAGTTCTGACTTATCTGGGTAAAGATGAATTACTCGATTTATGTCTTTCACAGCATGTGATAAATTATGAATCTGTAATTTAAAACAAAAAACTCTACTATTTAGCTGGTATTATGAACACAACTTGGAGACAATTATTTCTGTAAATGTGGTCCTACAGGTCATAGTACCCACGTAATAATAACAACTCACGAGGGATATGCCTTCTAAAGTAAGGGCTCAACGCTTTTTAATTAAAAGGTCTGCCACCTACAGATTTCCATACTCTCCCACACAGCAGACTTGAACAGCAGACATTTTCTTTACTTTTCCAAAATCCAAATAAGATTCTGGACTACTTGGAAGAAGAGTAGATAATGAGATCCACATGAACATATTTCCTGATTGATTTTAAATGCAAATCATTACAGCAATGATTTGTCAAGGTTGTGTCTGTGGTCCCATTCACTGTTTTTCAGAAGGGGAGGAGAAATGGCAGGAATCATTGCAGAAAAGATCCCAGGGACTAATCTATCCAGATGGCTAGGTGCCTGCTGGAACTGCCATCAAATAGTATTGCTGAAATTCACATACTAATCTTAATTTAGCTACTCTACATATTTCAAAAAACTAGAAGCAACCTGAGCATTAGTAGAAGACATTTTATGTGAACTATGAGACAAGTTCTTAAAGTCAGTATCATATCTTTAAGTTTTATTTTTTTAATGAGTCCATCCAAGTGAATTGATGAGTTAAAAGTAGCTTTCTTTAGACAAATAAAGTGAACAGTGTTAAATAATCCTCAAAACGCTTAAATGAGAAATAATTATTTCCATTTTTCCAATGACAGTCCACAGAAATTAGGTCACACTGAAGACTATGTTTCTCATGCTCCTGAGAAGTTCACAAAAAACAACAGCTAGCCAAAGCTGTTACAGATGTAAAATATATTAATGGGAAATTAAAACTTTACAACAGCTTCCAGTTTCCTGAAAAACAAAAGTTCTCAGGAACCCTAGGTCCAGAAAAAAGTATTTCAATTTATTTTATTTCGAGTATATTTTATTAAAGCTCTGACTAGATGAACACTGACATAGAATAAAATTGAATGAAAATTGAAATATTTTATGTTGTTGCATCACATGCCAAGTTTGTTTTACAGTATTCAAAATGCATGTAATTCTATTATAGTGATGAGGACTACTTGAAGTGTGTAGCTATAAACAGGTTATAACGATGCAACATCAAGTTGTAAATATTAAAATACTTGCAACAACACCAAATGTAGAGCTGTATAAGTGATGATCAAAAACTAAAGGGGAGTATTACCTTGTGATATGCTTGTGCTCTACACAAGTAGGCTTGAACATTGAGAGGATCAATTTTTATAGCATTAGTAAACTGCCGAATTGCTTCATAGTATTGATCCAGATGCAACAGCAGTATCAAACCAGTATTTAAGTAAGCAGAGATGATAGAGCTAAAAAAAAAAAAAAAAAAAAAAAAGATTTCTCTTTTGTTATTTCATTAAATATATAACTATATAAACTCTGCAACAGGCTTAATTTGCTTTTATGAAATTTACAACATATTGTGATCACACTGAGCAAAATAATATTAATTTCCAGCAGAGGAGATAGCTTCTATGCACAGAATAGATTAACAATAGACATAGATGGTAATTCACATATTCTGAATACACCAAGAAACATTGAACTCTCCAACATAAAAGCATAAAAGTTTACTTAAAAAAGACTCCAACAAAACATACACATCTCCCATTTAGCCTGCTCCTTTACTTCTTTGGCTAGCAGTGTGAAAGATCAGAGATTCCAGGATTTACAATATCTTGTGTAGCCTCTCTTGGAGAAAGTTACTAGGCAAGTTCTAGATTCCCAACAAAAAAGCCAAGAAAAAAGGCGAGCTGAGGGGATTGTACATCCGCCACAGATTGGAATGGAAGCATTTGCTCAAAAAAAGACTGTTGAAACTGAAAGAACTCTATCTTAAAAGAATGGGTAACTAATCTAAATAACTGGAATAGGAAGCTTTTTTCAATTTGCAAGACTGTGTGCAGAAGCCTACCAACAAACAGCCTGTTTATAGAGTACTAAGTGGTAGGAAGAAGTCCAACTCACAGAAACAGCACGAGCTTTAGTCACCAACTGTAACAGATCACAAGCAGTTTTGTTTTATTTTGTGTTATCAGGAATTTTTTGTTTTAATTTATTTCATGGACACTACTGATTTTGCTAAGCAAAATGTTGTAACATAATTTTTTTTTAAAAAAAAAAAAAAAGGTGCTTTCATCTGCATTGTATGTATAATTGCATAATGCAAATTTCCTTTCAGAAGACCTGTGAAATAATTTTAGCAAGAATGATCACCTGTAATTAAGATTTCAATTTCATCTTTCATTTGCCAAATAGCAATTTGTTTGCCAAGTTGCCATATAAGGTAAAATAAAATTTAAATCCTAAACAAATAAATAGTTTTTATTGTATTTTGTACTAGGTTAAAAGAGAAGATACTGTGAAGAGACAGCATCGTATTTCATTTCAATCTCTTTTCTGAGTAAGTAGTGACTTCACTTTCCTTTATTAGTACTTACTTCCTTGATTGTTTTTTTTTTGTTTGTTTGTTTTGGGTTTGGTTTGTTGTTGTTTTAGTATTTTTATGCTTTAAGTTAATAAGAATATAAACAAAATACACTGAAACTGTCAAGTCCAGTTACCTGTCCAAAGCTATGACGCTTTCAAAGTCACGGATTGCAAATGACCATTGCTGTTGCTTTGAGTAAATGACCCCACGATGAAGAAAAGCAGAAAAATTCTCCTGAGTGTCATTGATGAGGACTGTGAGAAAGAAATGAAAAATCAATTGTTAAAATATCCTCATGTATTTCTGTTACTCCACTCAACTTACCTGCAGTTCACTCTTTAGCTTTTCAAGAGTTTTATAAAATATAATTGTTTAACAGCATTGTAACACAACACATTATATCATAATACAGTTAGTTTTAATAGTGCTTCAAATATCTTCAAGGTGTATAGAATTCTCACTTACGTTCATTCAAACTGTTAGAATTGAAATAAAAAAGGCTTAGGGATCAGACTGAAAATACCTGAGGAGTAGCAAAAGCAGCAACAGTTGATGTGATGAACTTAATAGAAAAGGAACAAATTATTAGCATATACTGAAAAACAACTATATTTTCCAGAAAATGAACAGGAAATAATTTTGCTGTACTATAATATAGTAATTAATGGCTGATGATCTTTTTAAACAAAGATGTGCAGCTTTAGAACTAACAATACCAGAAACACTGAAGTCCTGCAGAGCTCTTTTTGGATCAATCTCCCGTAAGATGCAACCTCTATAGTAGAATGCTAACCAACAAGAGGGGTCTAGATGAATTGCTGCTGCCAAGTCGTGTACTGCATTTCTATACTGCTTCTGTTTAGCATATGCTCTTCCTCGATATAGCCTAATAAAGAAGGAATAATTTGAGTCAACTTAATAACAAGCATCCTTTCTTTAATGGCATGCAAATTTGAAGCACTTAGAGGGGAAAATGTTGAAGAATATAAGCAAATGCTCATTCTGTTTCTCAGTGCATTAAAAGAAGTCTAAAGGAACAAGATCATATAACCTATACCATATAGGCAGATTATTGCACTTCAATAACCCAAGCTCAATATAACACAGCACTATCAGCTTAAAGATGAGTTGAATGCGAGACTCTCGAGTTCCACAGAGTACTGGTGCAGCAGTTTGAGTATGGAAAATTCTAGTTTTCCTCAAATCTTACATAAACAAGAAATAAAAGCAGTCTCATTACTATATTAAAGCTTTCTGAAAACATTCATTCTATTTTCAATATTTAAAGCAGACAGGTTTACAGTCACCTATTATACTACTCTTCAGTGAAATTCAAAGTTCTACATCTCAAGGAAATAGCACTTACATCAAAATTGAAGTGTCATCATATGGTATTGCATATTGCATCTTTTTAATTATTTCATAGATTGCAGTATAGAAATAATGTAAAACTTTGTAGGAACTTTAATAAAAATTGAACACATTTCCCAATGAAAAAAAAGAAAACAAGAAAAAAAAAGTCTTTCAAAGTCAAAACTCAAAAACATTGTTGTAATTTGAAAATAAAGATTATTCTCATCCATATATTTGGATTTTTTTTTTCCCCTGCAGAAAGCGTTAACTAAGCATAATGTTAAGAAGTGTCAAGAAAACAAATTGAAATTCAGCATAGATCTACACAATACTGAAGATGTTCTTCACTTTAAGCATTTATTTAAATCCAGTTCTTTACAGCAAAGCACAATCCAACCCACTCTATATTTGCAATACTTCAGATGAATCTGAATATATGGTTCTATCCTTAGTTAAATTAAGGTTTAGGTACTAATCCAAAGTCACTAAAGCAATACAAAGATTCCTCAATGAATATCATGGCCTAATAGTCTTACTCTATTTCTGACATATACCTCTTTGAAAATGCAATTGCTTTATTACTGTATAATGCATATTTAGTCTTTTGCATAGTAATGTTTTAATAATCCAATCAAAATTCAAATATTTATGTCATACTCTATATTATACCTTGCTTGAGCATTGCTAGGGTCTTCTCTAATCACAGCTGTAAAATCCTGAATAGCTGTAGTCAAAATTGAATGGTCAAAGAAATATATTCCATGTTTCATACGTGCATCTGTTCTTTTTGGGTTACACTGAAAACACTATAATAAAAAAATAAAGAATTACACAGTGCTATAAAAATAATGTTATAAAATTACATTTCTTCATTCTCTCTTTTTTTTTTCCTAATTCTCTTCTCTGCTATCATTTCCACTAACAGTTCAGTGAGATAGAGTAGCAATGATGCAAACTGATCAGTGCCTGAGAATGTGTAGACATTCAGTAACTTAGTGAATTACCAGACAGAAATAACAGAAATAAATAATTTTTATGACACTGATTTCTTTTAAAACATCATTTATTAGAAAGGATATCTGTGCTCAAAGCTACTTTCCAGATATATTCACATACAGTTTATTTTCAAAGTTAACAAGAACTACAACATTATTGTAACAATACAAAAAAGTTAACTTACTTTGGCATAATCATCTACAGCCAACAACAATTGATTTTCCTCAAAATACAACTCAGCTCTTCTGAAATACATGTCATCATCTGTAGAGTTGCATTGTATTGCAGAGCTGTAATTGATGATTGCCATTGTATTATCACCCTGTTTTCTGTAAATTTCAGCCTTTGACAGGTATGCATCTGAAATAATCCCACAAAACAGAAAAGGCACTATTTTATTTAGCAGTCCAAAATAATGTCATCTCCTTCTTACATAGTATTTGAAACAAGCAGTAGAAATTAAACCAAAAAGTTTGGAAGTCATTTAATCTGAGGAACAGAGCTCAGAAATTTAGAGCTGTGTGCTCTGTCCTCAAGCCCATATAGATGGAAACTGATAGTACCCATGAATCCTACAAGAGCTCAAATCTCTTTCCTCTCTGCAGAGCTCAGTAGAAATGTCCCATCAAGCCATTTGAGTTAGTCATGTTGACCACAAACAGACAGAGTAGATTTGGTTTTCAGTAACTGTAAATAGTTACTGAGCCTGGTCAAATAGAGCTAGCTTTCTTCTTAACTGCCCATGTGGTGCTATGTTTTGAATTTGGGGCTAAAACTAGGGGTATCAATACTGCATGTGTGAAGTGATGAGTGATTGTATTCCCTTTCTTTCTATCTTTCCTTTTTATTTGTTAAAGTGTTAGCACCTCAAGCCACAAGTTCTCTCTTGATCTACCTATTTTCTCCCATCCTGCCAGGGGTGGGGTAGAGCAAGGGAACAGCTATACAGATCCTTAGGTGCTGGCTTGAGTCAACTCATCCCAAATGTTCACAACCACAAATGGCTGAACACTTCCCAACACCTTCTAACAAACTTCTAGTGAAAAAAAATTCAAAGAAAAAATTGTAATAGAGCACTGAGGACAGTGGCACCAGAACAGCAGAAAACAAAGGCACTAATAATCTTTTAAGCCTCCACACTAGCAAGTAATACAAAACTTCCAAATGATCCTCAGAAGTACAATGTTCTCATTTTTGTGTTCTGTAGCCTCAACCACAATACCAATAAGAAAACAGAACTCTCCAGTAGACACTGACAATCTGATGAAGGAATAAAATAGTTTCTCCTAGCCCTAAGCAAGGCTGGTCACTAATCAGTATGATCTACTGATCATAAGTAGAGCATAAGTGAGATATTTGAAAGTGGGGGGGGGGGGGGAACCACAAAGAAAGCCACACCACCCCCTGGTCCTTACAAATAGCTTAGCCAAAGCCCTGAGTAACATGTAATAGATGTAATGCAAGAAACAGCAAGTCACTTTTCCCTCACTTCCAATAAAGTGCAGGATCTGACAACCAAAGACCAGTATGAATTTACATCTGTATAACCACTGTTAAATACTGTTATAAAATTCATTTCACTTTATAGAGCTCTGCTTTAAAATCCTCACTTAACTACATTACTCAATTTAGAAAGCCACTCCTGAGTTTCATTCCTAAAATGGTTAGAAATCTCCCCTAATTCACAACTCAACATTTATCCGTGAAAAATGTACACTCATATATATTGCACTGTCATCCTTCAATTTAAAGTTTTTCTCCTCATGAAAAATACTTCCCATACCTACTTGCAGTATATAGATGTTTATCATCAAATGTAGGCATTTCTGATCAACTCTAACAATTTAAACAATGCAATGAGATCATATAATGAATTTATTGTGTTCAAAACAACAATACAGTGACTTTAAAATTTAACATATTGCTTACCTATCCTTTGGATGTTCTGCACATAGAAATGGTTTCAGCAAATTAAAATCTGAGTTATTTGAAGAAGCATTAAAGAAAAAAAAAAAAAAAGGTAGATCACAAAGGAGCTTTCAATTCCCCTAGTCCAGGGGCTTAATTTCAGAACTAAATTTTAGGTCAAGCAATGCAGGGCCTTATCCAGATTTTAAATCTCCAAGAAGTATCTGCTTCAGTACTTCACCATTCCTACAGCAAATATTTTCATGCCCAAAGATCTCTGCTGTTGCAACTTGCACATATTATCTCCCATTTGACAGAGCATCTCAAAGAAAAGTCTGATTCTGTCTTTCCTATTACTATGCATCACATAGCTGAGAACATTTACCTATTAGCCTCACTTTCTCAAAGCTAAATCAGCTTCCTCAGCCTTTCCATACAAAAAGGTATGTTTCAGTCACATGACCAGGCACCTCACAGATTTCGAAGGACTCTCTCCAGTTTCCCTCTGTCATATCAAGCACAGTACTGGAGACGAAACACCACAATCAGGCAGGGGAGAATCACTTTACCTCACCTGCAGGGCCACACTTTTCAATGTATCCAGAGCACAGCTAGCCTCCTCTGCTGCAAGGCTGCACTGATGACTCGCATAACTTGTTCTGGAGGGCTGATACTCAGCTACCAGTTCCCAATCCATACAGATAACAGGCACATAAAAAAAACTTATACCAATTCTTCTTTAGAAGACACGGACCAAACTTGATTTTCCTTTTAAGGTCCTCCTCCATAGTATAAAGCTCACAAGCTCACAGTAGAACAGGTCTGACTGAATGCAAAATAGCATGTTGTCCCCACTACAGGAAATCAGATTTCCCCATTAATTTTTTTTTTTTTTTTTTTAAGTACAATGAAATTAAGTACTTATTTTTTTCTTAGAAATCAATTTCCTGTCACAAATACTTGAAGATGTCACCTTCACAGTTTTCCTCTAATAGGGGTAAACCAACTGAAGTTTATTAAATATCTACTTTGGATGAAAAGCAAGCTGTTTAGAAAGTTAAATTACGCTTCAGTAGATACTTACCTGCTTTATTTTTGTTCCATTTAGTAATGAAATTCAGGTCATTTAAAGCAGCAGAGAATTTGTCTTGAAAGAGGTAAATCAAATGTCTATGCCAATAAGCATCAAGTAGTAGTGGTTCTAAGCTTATAGCCTACAAACAAAATAAGAATAATATTTTGTTTTGCAGAAGAAAATTCTGAAGTGTGCTAACAATAGCACATGAGAAATGAAATCTTTTTGTACTAAAATGATTTTTAATAAATCTTAGACAAACTTCTATTTAACCCATAAATCTGAAGAGTTTGACTGATGCACCCATTTAAAAGCAATATATGCTTATAAATATGCAGAATCAGAAATCAGTCTACCAGAATTCAGTATAAAACAGATCAGTTGTGATATTACCAGATTTCTTTCTTTAGTAGTTACCTGAATTATTTCTAGAAACCATGTGAAACAATGTTGCTTATTTCTTACTTTCGAATAGGTATGTCTCCATTAAAAATGTATCCATTTTTCAAACTACACTGTTATGATTCCTATAAAAGTACTTCACATTTCCTAGTATATGCTAATATTCCTATATTCCTAGTACCCTAAGATATTATTTGATAGATCTTATCCATATATATATCACTGTGCAGATAATACAAACTTAACAGCCATATGGAAATAAGTATATAGACAGATACACATCTGAGACTGGTCTGCTACAAAAGTAATTCTCAGATTTGGGTCTGTAAGCCATTTCTAGGATCCATTAACTACGCAGAGATTGCTTTTGTGTACCATGAAAATAACAGTCAATGTTTTCACTAAATTGTGCAGTAGCTTTGCAAGTAGTTAATAGGGGCCCACTGGTCAATTGGTCATTTTGTCATTGTGGAATTTTTGGCCTTTTCAGACACTTGACTGCCCATTTCTGAAGTTCAAGGTAAAAAATTCATTTTTTTTTTTCCTTTTTGTCAGTGTTTTTATTCTGTTGGATTACTTCTGACTAGTTGTGCAGGGTATTTGGCAGAATTAACAGCAGGTTTTGTAGTCCTGCTGTTCCCCTGTACAGAGGAAACAAAGTTATATAAACAAAAATGCACAGAAAGCCACTAATACTACTGCATAAAACATCAGTGTTAAATGATAGCTCAATCATAAAAAGAAAATACATTACTTTCCATTTTAATTTCTCACTATGCTTTTGCAGAAATTAAAAATATGTTTGTCAGTAGCATTACTTGAAGCAAATAGCCTCCATCCTTTCCATCTATCCTCTCTCCAACATACATCATATCACTTCAGGTCTTAAGTGCTGTATCCTGAGCAAGAGTCCTAAGTTCAGTTTAAAAAAGAAAAAAAAAGAATAGAGGGGGCAGGGGGCCCTGACACAGTAGGAAAGCTTGGCATTAAGCTTACTTTTTCCAAGTCATCCATAGCTGATTTTAGCTTGCCTAACTTTCTTCGTATTGCTCCACGCCTGCAATATTGAAAAGCTGAAGGATGCTCAACCTTTTCTATTAGATCAGTCAGTCTTCTTACTTCTTCTTCTAAATCTTCAGTGTTAACTACTGCATCATCAAGCAGAACAGGTTGTATTGAGTCAACTAGTTCTATTTGTAGATTTGTTTCTTTAGAGCCAACTGCCTTAGCTCCTTCTAGCAATTCAGGACCTTTCTCAGGAACAGTCCCACAAGCAGGGAATGTCTCATCAAACCAGCAGCTCCAGATTCCACTGACCCACGCACGAGCAGAAGTTTCTTTTGGAATTCCACCCCTCACTTTAGCAAACTTTTGAAAATCCAACAAACAAGGGATGCTTGGGCTTTGATATAGTTTGATTGCTGGCGACACCTTGATAATGAATTTATTATGAATAAGAAGTCTTCCTAGAGACACAGACCTAAGGAAAAAATATTTTAAAATTAACTAAATATTTTCAGCTATATTAATGATATTAAATTACAGTCTGCCAATCAATAATTAACAAAAGAGTTGACAATATATTTATGAATAATAATGACTTTTAAACACCAGCCACTTATAAAGAATACTGTTGAAGTTGGGAGGTAAGCAGAATCCTGAATGATCCATGATCCCAAGTAGTTCAGTGCTTATTTGCAATTTCATGCTAATTTCTTCCAAAAGCTTCTTACCTCAGTTTACAACGACAGTGCTGAATTTAAATTTAAGAAAGGACAATATTTCAGTTTGGCTAAATATGTTGATGACAAATACTAGATGGATGAATATACTGATTATATATATATGGATTATATATATATGGATGGATCTATCATCTACATGGATGATAGATATTCAAAGGAGGCCATGAAAATATAAGAATTAGCAATCAAAGTTAAACAACTACAACAAGACCACATGAACTCAAAAGGACACTTTCAAAATTGTAAGCTAAGAAAAATTGCCTGTTCTAAAAGAGCCTCCACAAAGGATCATGATTAACATCTGCTTGGGACCTCAAAGTGAAAGAAACAAATCTTTAACAGAAACAGAATTCAATATTTTTCACAAAGAATACTCTAGCCTTGCTAACACAGAATGAAATACTAGGAGAGAATACTAAGAAATCTACAATGCTTTATATAAAAGATAGGTAATTATAATATTTATATTTTAAATTTGAAGATCCCACTGAGAAAAAGAGAAATTGAAGGAAAAATAAAGCAATCTTGTGTATGAATATGTAAAATAATACAAAGATGAAAGCTTTGTGGATTAAATAAACTGATATAAAATACTTAACAACTTCATAGTACTGTCTAAAACAGAACTTTGGAGAAAGGCCACCATCTCCATAAGTTTCTTCGTATTATAGCAGTGTATCACTCAGTAATTTCAGTATATTGATTTTCTTAACAATAAACATACAGAAAAGTGTAAAGGCAGAAAAAGGAGAACCTGAATGTGAAACTGGCCTGAAAGACCAGGCCTAAGCATCAATACAAGTTACACTGGGGACACAAAACATGACTGCAAATAAAACAAGAATAACTTTGGGAGGTTTTTTGAGCTTACCACTTTAAGCACCTGTATTTAAAAAGTATCATTCTGGTAAAATCAAAACTACAGCTTGGATTTTTTTTTTTGTTTGTTTTTCTTAAAAGTAACCCATATATAAACAATAAGCATTCACTAGAACAGTGTTTTAGAGCAATACTTATTATGTAAAAAAATAACAGCTGTAATTAGATAATACAGCTACAAATTAAAATACATTCTTTAAAATGGCAAAACAGTAAAAAAGACCTTTTAAGAATTCTTGGAGGTTCATTTAATTTCTTAATCACAGCTTCTAATTTTCTAGTATTTATTGCTTTCCTTGATTTCTTCTTCCTCTTTCCTTTTGAGACAATAACATATTTAATTCCAGCCTTTTGAGCTCTCTTTGCAAGTACAGTATTCTCACTATCCTCTTGTCCAGTCAAAGTAGGCATTTTTTCCACTGGTGCATTTGTCATCTTTGAGTGGCAATCATCACAGACTTGGTTCAAAAGATGCTTGGCAGGGGAGCTGTTCGCAGTCTCAGTCTCAACCTTTGACTCAGCTATTTGTTGCTTCATAAACTTCAACTCTTTCATACTGGTTTTGAAATCAGCTGACATCTTCAATACAGTATCATGTTTGAAAGCAGTCATCTCCGGCGCAGAGGCTGATCTTTTAATCAAATTTATCTGGTTTTAAAAAAAAAAAAAAAAGGAAATTATTTTTCATTTAAATGTTCATTTGTATTAATATTTACTTATCACATTTCCTTGGCTTGAATGGACTGGATTTTATTTTGAATAGAATTATAAAGAAAAAAGCAACCGGGATACTATACTTGAAAACCATGTAGTATTGAATGGGACAAAAGAGCCACACACCTCCAGATATGTATCAAAATAAAGGCATCTGAAACATTAAGTGAAAGTTATTTGAAGCTCGTATAAGGCTAAAATTAATTTTCTCTAGAATGTTATCATGAGAAATTTGAAGTAGATAACCCCCCCCAGAAAGAATGGAAAAATTTTAAAGTGAAAAATGTACACCACTGGTGGTAAAACTTAAAAAAAAAAAAAAAAAAAAAAAAAAAAAAAAAAAAAAAAAAAGATGAACAGAGATATATTCATAACATTAGAATAAAAGATGGGACAACTGTGAAGTTTGGAAATACTGGAAATTGTACTATCTAGAAATACAGTTGAAACCTGAATTGAATTAGGCATCCTTATATTTTGTGTGCCAATTCCCGAATCACCTGACAAAAATAAAAAATAAAAAAGAATAATTGTAATGATCTGGTGTTTAATTGTAGTCATTATATAACATCTGCAATTTAAAAGCATATTGCATCTTACTCTTTTAGATAACTCCATTTCACTTGTCTTACACTATAATATGAGGTATAAATTTGACATAAATTTGTCAAAGAAATTAAAATGCAATTTCATATCCACTACCTGAAGGTTAACGAGGAAAGAAAACATTTGTTAATCTGAAAAAAAAAATAAAAATGAAGCATTGAACAAGACTACTTGTATTTGAATAGGAAATGCTGAAGCTTTAAAAAAAAAAAAAATCAAGCATCAATGCTCAGTTCAAACTGCAGACATAGTGTTTAAGTTACTCAATTTATTATTACGTACACTTTGAACTGCTACCATGCTTCCTATCCCTCTTACAAATAAAATGGCCATAACACTTTAAGCAGGTTTTTATGACCTATACAGAACTTTTAAATATAGCCTCTGCAAATTCTTACTCAAAATCTAATTTCTCAATTAAACACTATCTATATAAACTATAAACTCCTTGTTGTGTACGTGTAAAACATGCATGATTTATTGCAGCTTAATCTATTTCATGAAACACCTAACATTACTTCAATTTTAGAAGACATCATCTTATGGATTGTAAACTTAATATTGACCCCACTATATGTCAGAAATCCAAACTAGATACTGCAAATCTTTACTAGCCCACTGGTCCACTTATATCACGTTGAGGGAGTACAGGCTCCTCTCACTTACCTCTCTCCAAGTGCCTGTTAAGTTAATGGTAGTTTCTCATTACAAAGCTATGTTCTCCTAATAGGAAACTGAAAGGTTTAGCTTAACCAATGCACTTGAAAAAGATCTTTGAAGTGTTCACTTTTCATTTAATACGAAAATATTAACTTCAGTTTAGTTCAGCATAAGAACTTCTTCTCCAAATAGAAAATCACAGTTTGGGAACAAGTAAATATAAAATACCTTTGAGCTCTCCCTGTCAGAAAAATGTGAGAAAGACTGGCATCTTCTCAGCTGATTTTCTGTCTATAAGTAAAACAAAAAGTGAAAGTAAATCATATCATAATAAACCAGGTTTCAGTTGTTTCAGATAAACAAATACTCAGATATTCCTGTGGGATCTGGGTAAGCTTTTACCTACTTCTACCTCTCAGATCCTTTCACTTAAATATGTTTACATAGAGTTAGCACTTTGAAATGAATAGCATAATTTGGCACTTGAGACTCTCTGTGAAGCCTACGGGTCTCATTACCGCACTGCCTCCAAAGACCAAAGCCATTTAAAATGTGCACGATTTTATAAATGGACAGACTCACACTACAACTTACATTCATAGTTCTTGTTTACAAATCACCTGCACAGAATTTCTTGACTATTCTTAAACATTTTTAATACCTTCAGAGAAATTCTACATAAAAAATTCATATATGTGGAAATATTCCTCTTCCCCTGTTCTCCTCCTTGCCTCCCACTGTTTTTTTTAGATGGCTGTATGTAATGGAACATCCAGTAACCTTTCTGTTGTACCCCAGAAATCTCTCATTTACATTATAGCTCCTACTCCAAAAACAACTAAGAATAGTCTTGGGTTCTAAAACATGAAACCTAGCATTTTCTATATATTCAAAAACAAACCAAATTTAAATACTGTACTTCATTTGCACACATATCAGCAGTCAACCATACATATATCACTTTATGACCTCAAACTAAGAATTGTTTTGTTAAGCTTAATTACATTCAAAAAAATACCATGATACACACTGGCAAATAATCATACAAATCAAGATCAGCTTGCTCAGTTTCTAACTCTTCTTCATAATCAATTAAGAAGTCTTCATACGTGATATCTTCAATAACGTTGCTCTGAAATATTAATATATTCACATATTTAAATAAGTACAACATTATTATTTGTCAGCTACAGAAACCATAGTAACAGACAAGCCAAGCCTATTCCATATTTGAGCTAAAGAGATATGATGATCAAGATCAACATCATAGAAGCCATTTATCTTAAACTACTGAAGGACAGGCAGTGGAACACATTAAGATCAAGAATGATATGGTGCAAAAGGGGCATATAACCTGAAATAAACAGTTATTGCTACCTGATTCCATAAAGTTTTTATCTGTAGCCTTTGTAATTTATGTCAGCTCACAGGAGTCCATATAATAACACTAACACAGCTTTCAGTTCAGGTAAAAGTAAGGCTAGGAAATAGCAAATAAAGTTTATTCCTGCTGTTAATTAATCCAGATGTAAGTGTGCTTCACATCTTGCACAGGGGTGTGGACTGGTTGTGAAAGGCTGTTTTTTCTGTAACCTTTGCCATAGGAAGGTGCAATGTACCATGAATATGGGATTCCAGTAGGCATGGCCTTTTATATGAAAGGCTAATCTCTTGCAACACCATAACCTAACAACATAGAGAAGTTTTTACATTCAAGAAATTCATAATTCAAAAACATTGGCAACTGTTAAAATAGACTTTGATAGATTTTGTAATTTTTTTAAACTTTGATATATACCTCAGCCAGCACAGCAGAAGAAAGCCTGTGCAAAAATATGTTTACATTTTGTTGAAAGCCAGTAAGACAGATAGAGTAGCAATTAGTAACTACTAATTCTACTAAAGAACTACTACCAGAAACTTTCTTATTGTTAAAATGGAAATTAAATAATACTACATAGTGTATATTAATACAAACTGTACACTGAGTTATATACCACACTTAGAAATAGTGAAGCATTACTAAAATAGCAGTTCAAAATGCAACTATGACATTCAACAAATATAACATTAGAAAATCAAATATTTTTGCAAAAGATATGTTTTCAGAATATTTACCTCATATTTAGGAAATAAAATTTCCTTCATAGAAGAAATTGGAGCAAAGAACTTTGGTGGAACAGGAGCCCAAAACATTTTCAAAGCTTCTGGATAAATGGAAACCTTCAAAACCAATGGAATGCAGTTATCAACTTACACAAATCAAGCTTATTTCTGTCAGTATTTAGTCTAAACTATTAGGTGATAAAATATTATTTTGTACATTATTTCATAAGGAAAAAAAAACAAAAGACACACCACTTTAAAGCGCATCAAATACAATGAAATTTTGTGACCAACAGGGCTCTGCCACCCAAAAGAATTACACTGTTTGTAGTTATGTTTGTTATTAGCACATTAGCATAATATTATCACAGATGAGAATTGAGCCATGAGATTTTAGAATAACACTCTCCATCAATAAAAACTTTAACTATTGTTACACTGCATCTTGTCAAATGTCAAAAAAGAAAAATCTTTACTTCTTTCATGCAACAGAAGAAAAAAATTAAAAAATACTTCCAAAATATTGTGCTTTAATTGCAGAATTGCACAATTACATGACATAATTATTAAAATTATTTCTTACTTTCTCTCCTACCAGTTGAAGCTGTGGTTTTTTAAGACTACAATCAGCTTTTTGCCACTCAGCTAGCGTTTGTGATGTATGAGGTGGAAGAGAGCAAATCCCATCTTTCTGATCATTCTGAAACAGTTCTGAAGCAGGAACTCCTTCATAACAAATTCTGCAGCAACACAGAAGAGGATTTAAGTTATTTGGATGCTGTCAGGTTTGAAATTAGAAAAATAGAAAAGTAGGTAATTTTTAATCAAACTAGAAATGCTTTTATTTTTTCTCAGAAGGAAAGAGCTAAAGGCTAAAATGACTTAACTCATTTGAGAAACCTGCTGCTAAGCCTCTAGTTTTAAGACTTCCACAACTAGGTCTATGGTGTATATTACTTGTAAATGAAGTCACTATATAACAGTAACCTCCAAGTATTAAGTACGTTTTATAAAATAAGTAACTTCATGCATGGCAAATACCCAATTCAAGAACTGGTTATGGTTAGATATACTTAAACAACCAAGAGAAATTATATCAGCAGGAACGTTGGGCTGGTTTTGAGCAGTATTTTTTGTGATTACTTTGGGATAGGATTCTGATTGTTTGCTTGCCCTTTATTATTTTAAATAAACTCACCTATGGCAATCACCTTGGAAAAGAATTTCACTTCAGAAAGTTGCTGAAGTAATTATGCATCTTAATTTTCTGTCAATGTTTCAATTTCAAAAATACTGAACACTTAAGCAACACAATGTAACTCATCTGTATAAGTCCATATATTATACACACACACACATATATATATATACGTATAAAATCCTATAATAACTTATCTTTATTTCCTTTGTTCCTGGCACCTGAAAAGCCAGATTTAGATCTGAAGAACATATTACTTCTAAGAAACTAGTAAAACTATTTTAGAGAATAGCAGCAATCACAATTACAAGCCTACTATCATTCATCACTTAAACAGGTATTTTACAGGATTTACATAAAAACTGATAATGAATATTTTTTACTTAAGAGAGTAGAAAATACATCTGTATATTTAGCTATTCTTGTTTTTGCTTGTTTGACAGTGCATTAATTACTTCTGTTGTCACTTATATAATTATTCAGTACCAGAATTACAAACAAAATACATTGAATGTTTCATCTATTATTATATATACAGAGGAACAAGAAAAACATAACTAGGTATATGCATGCAAACAGCATATAAATTGTTTATGACATAAACACAATTTTTCATAACATATTGGCACATTGGCATATGCCAACACTGACATCTACTGGTGTTAATCAGATTTGGGGTAGTTTGCAAACACTAAATAATGAAGTTTCCTTGTGTTTTCGTGGAATTAAAGTGCTTGATTCCAGTTATCTGCAACACCACTGTCAGCTGTATATCTGCTGCAGTGGGCTTCATTCTCACTTAAAATAGAAATATGTTGCATTTCATTTAAGACTTATCAAAACCGTATGTAAATGGGAGCAGCGGGGAGGTCTCACTGTAACTAAGAACCAGCCATTTGATTTAGCAAACAAAATGCCTCTGAAGTACAGCCCCAAGTTGAGAAGGAATCTTTAAAATGCAGCACTAGTGCAAAGAAAGATTGTAGACCTGAGAGTACTTCTTGAACTCTTTCTGGAATGCTCCTTTCTTGAAGTGGAAGCTTTGAAAAAAGACCTGTTTCTTGTAAAATGAACTGAAAGCCTAACTTTTGGCAAATGTATGGCCTTCCTAGTTTTTGTTTCTATTTAAGTGGTCAGTGGTTTTGAGTCTTCAAGGTGAGAGTCTGCATAAAAGTATGTCAAGAAGTTATAACAAGATAGAGAATGGTATAAAACAACCAAAAGATTCTTTAGCATTTGACCATCTTAAGTGAACAACATAAGAGTTGTTACTCTTTTAGGGCACTTTTGTCATAAATAGTTATCAATTCAGTGAGTTTATACCAACTAATAAAATGTGAGTTAATGTGAAACAACATTCAGGCTTCTCATTTCTGGAAGACAGAAACAAATGAAGAAAAGCAGCTCAATGCAATAATAATAAATTCTAATAATGTTCTTATTCCACCTGCTGGTTAATAAATACAAATTCAATCAGAATGTTTCCAGGAGATTAAAGCATTCCTGCTTGAAGGAATTTTAACAAAGATAAGATGAAGCTAAAAACCATGTTAAAATATTTGCAAGATTTCTACGAGGAATGGATTAGACCATCCACATATAATGTTCATAAACATACATTCTGATTAACTCTTAAGTCTTTATGGCTAGAAAGTAGCATTTTTAACTCTCAAACAACTGATACTTGCAGAGCATGTTAAGCAGGACATAGAAAGCAAGGGACCTTCATACACAAAATAAACACAATGCAGTCAGTCCTGGTTTCCTGGTTATGGCTGACCTGGAGATGTATGTATATTGATAAGTAACACTCTGCTCTGTTATATGTTTTTCACAGATGTGAATGAAAAGTTTGTTGTGAAAAAATGTCTGGAGGTTTAAAAAACAACAATGTTGAAAGCAAAATAATTATTGCTTTATTAATCTGATCCACTATTAAAAAAAAATCACAATTGTAACTTGCTCAACAAAGTCATTTAAATTTTACTATGAATTACATAGAAATCATGCTTATTCTCAGTTACGTTATTTGTATCTGTGAAATTAGACAAGTGCCAGGAATTTTTCAGCAATAGATGTGAGTAGTGTAAATAAACTTAAATTAGTACCATATAAATGATATCTGTTATGCTCCTGTAAGTGAACCAGTTCTTAATAGTAACAGGCTGTTGCAGGTTACGCCACTAGATGGCAGTGCTCCAAAGAGTTACGTTTTCTAGTTTTTCCAGATTAAACAAATTTGAGCAAGGATGTTTTTGTTTTTGTTTTCTTTTTAAAGAAAACAGGCATCTTAAAACTTCTCATCTGTGGGAATTTAGATCTGCATTGAAACCTTTCTGACACATAAAGCTCAGGCTCATCCTTTGCTCATCAGCTACCCTTGAAAGCAAAACCATTTTCACCTTCAAGCCCCATCTTCACATAGCTTCCACAGTTCTTAGTTTCACTAGCATCTCTTTACATTACAGCATCCTGTCCTCCACTCATTTCCTCTATTCCTAGTAAAATGTACAAAAAAACACCTTGTACAAGTCGCCTCTCCAAAATAATGAATCAGTATGATTCATAACTATTCTGCACCAACAAAAATATCAAACTACCCACCTCCTAGAGATGCCAGTGCTAGCTCAGCAATTCTGAAGTTCAAGGATCTTACAAGACTTTGCAGTATTCATGGTTTCCCCACTACTTGCTTTCATCGCTATGGTGAGCACCTCCATCATTCAACAGGTAACATTCACAACATACTAAAATTAAAGCTTTCTTTCAATCTCCCTAATAAGCTATTTCTCTGGTATTTAATATCACCTCAGTTGCTGCAGCATCTGTTTCTTTAACCCAGATAAGCACCACCTTCTTCTATTCACTCATTTTGTTGTTCTGTTCTTGTTCATTTAAAGTGCTACTGCAAAGATCATAGCTCCTTGCTTTGAATGTTATGCTATTCTTTGAGATAACAAAAGAGAGTGCTAATGCAAATATGAGATGCTCCTCTGCTTTCAAAGCACTCAAAGACCTTCCTTTTTCTGTTATCTCTAGATTAGTAAAGCTGTGCCAACTGCTATTTCAACGCAACTTCTGACTTCATAACTGACTTCCTAAGGGTTTTATTTTCCCCCTTTATGAACACTTTTTTGCCCACACTTAAATTGCCTCCCACGCTTGAGAAAAGAATCACAGCTATTAGCTTATTTTCTCAGAACTTCCTTAATGATCTTCCCTCATGACCTGCAAAACAATGAACAGCCAGGCTTCTGGCCACTCCAGCTGAAGCTGACACAAACCTATCAGAAAGATGAGGGCCTAATCTTAAATAACACCATACTTGATGGTTGGGAGAAACTTGACTGCATCAAAAGAATTTGAGATCTAGAAGCTTTCGTACAACAATTTTATGGATTCAGATTTTATGGAAAAAGAAATATTATGACAAACCCGTACTGATCTTCCAAACAACACAAATAATGCAACTTCATCAATATTCCTGCACTAAGCTCATAGTTCCCTTGGTGAAACTCAGGATACAACTCAAAGAAATTAAGTCTTGATTTAAAGACTGCAATCAGTGAGTAGTTTCATAAGGTACTCTCATTGCTATGCAATGAGGTCTTACAGCTACTCTCAAATTTGTCTAGACTGAAATGTCAGCTACTGAGTCTGTTTTCATTTATGCAAGTTCTCTTGCAACAGAAACTACGCCACTTAGGTAACAGATTAAAAGTATCTCTTATTTCTTACACAAAGACCAACATAATGATCTTTTTAAGTGTCTTCACATAGAACAAGCATTTAAGTAAGAGAGAGATCACATACAGGAATCCAGATTTCTGTTAACTCCCCAAGAACAATATTTGGAACTCACTGCTAAGTGCACAGCCTTCCTACAAATCTGCATGTGGAAGAATGGCAGACACCTGCAGGAAGTCTATTGCCCCTTTCTTAAACTTAGATTTCTCAGAGACTGCAGGCAGAATTTTTCCTCCATTTCAAATCCAGAACATGAGGCCCTTTTCTCAGGGTACACTTCCCCCCCCCATGAAGGGGGGGGGGGGGGGGGGGGGGTATGGTGGTTGTGGTTTTTTTGTTTTGTTAGACAGCAATGGGAAAAAATGCAACAATGGACTATTTCTTTCTTCATGGCAATTTGCTATTGAAGCACAGAGCCAGGATATGAGAATTCATTGCTTATGTGAGGATTCAAACCTCAATCACCACTACATGATTTGACTGTTCTGGGTGCAGGAAGTTGTGCTGCTGAGCATAAAAGAATACAAAAATCATGTAGCCAGGAGAAAAAACAAGTGGTGGCATGATTGCCTCAGTTGTAAGAGCACTTACCTGGAACAAAACAAAGCAAAACAGCTCTGTACAAGATTTCTAACCCCAAAACTATTACTTTCTCTATATTATTCAAAGCGTCTCATCTCCATTTTAACATACATGCTTGAAGGTTTGAGTCTATTACATAGCCATCTTCAGTTACTTATCTTTCAAGAGTGTAAAACTCTGCTCAGAATTACAGCTTCTCAGGATACAATCTGCCCTCCTACAAACAATGACTTCTATTCCCTATTCCTAGCCTTATGACCTTGCATTTGGCTGCACTAAAATGCACGTTTTTCAAGGGAGCCCAAGTTAACAAGCTACACAAATTGCCCTGTAAAACTGACCTGTCCTTATCCTTATTTACCTCTCTATCATTCTTTAGATCACTACAAACTTTACGAGCAATAATTTTATATTTCTGGACCTGGTGCAATACAGAAACTCAGTTGCAAATTGTCAGTCTGAAAAATCTTAAGGAAAAAAACTTGAGTGTAAAGGTTCTAGTTCCAAGATGTTCATCCAGAAAGACACAGAAAAAGGAAAAAAAATTAATGAAATAATATGGAGTGAAAAATGAACATTCTTCATGTTGTTTAGTTTTATTTCACATTATTTTAGCGTAAAATACATTAAGAAAACAACAAGTAAGGATTTAGGAATTCAATCAAATGTAAAAAATGATAATGCTGTTATCATGAGTACCTCTTACATGTACAATTAGTATTGTTGACTACAGATCTATCCAAGGTTTTATATTAATTTTGTATGCGTTGAACTCAACAGAACTTCATTAAATTACTTGAACTTACAATTGATGCTAAGTGCTTGAAGAATCAGGATCATAAGATTGTCCATTTGATAAAGGGTTAGTGACTGTACACTTTACACACCTTCTACTCTTGCAGAATTTTACATTCATAGGAAGCTTAGTCTAAGTGTTCAACATTGCTTGTTATTACAGTGAGACTCATCATTAGTAGAGCTAAATACAAAAATTCATAAAGTGAATTTCACTCTTAAAAATTAACATCACCTTTTTCATTCTAAGCAAGATAAGACCTTTGGGCTATATAATTTAAAGCATACCTTACAAACACGGTAAAAAAATAAAGCATTTTTATTTGCCACTTCTGTGAAACTACTAAATATTGAAACACCATTATTTCTCAAAATATAATCCCTTAATTTACAAAATTAATTAAATCACAGTAACATCAATAATAAGTTCATACCTTTTCTTTTCAGCTTGTTCTTTCAAGTAAATATACTCAGAATATATGGATTCTTTCTGCCTATTGTCTATATCCTCTGCCGTAAACAAGATATTGTGACCTCTTCTATTTGAAGTATGATAAATTCTCGAAGCCATTTGTAGATACGGAGGCAACATAAATCCGGGAAAAGCAGTACATAGATGATGAATGCTTGAATAATTTTGCTGTCTAGAAAGGGAAAAAGAAGCCTTAACCATTCTCTGAATTGTAAAAGTATGCAACTTATCGAAACATTATATCCAATGGTCTGTAACGTCACAATGTAAATTGCTAATATAAATACTCGGCAAAAGTTGCCTGGTAATCCAGATGACTTCTACTGAAAGCAGAGTTAATATCACTTGGAGTATTGGTGAAGGCGAAGGGACCCACAGGTAAAAGCAAAAATGTTGGCAATAATCTTAAAATTACAGAATAACTGCAGTAGTCACATTTTTACTTTCCCACAGCGGAGCTTTCACACCGTCTGCCCTGAAAGCTTAAAGTATCTAAGCACAGTATATTTACAGCTTAAATTGGGTATTTGCATAAATGTTATGTTAAAATGTTATGTGTACATTCATCTGTGCATTCTCTCTCATGACAGAACACCAGGTAAATACTCTTAAATTTTGGAATTAGTTTTTTTTATGCTATCATTTGAACATTTTTCCTAATATTTCAATTCAGCTGTTGATTTTGGAGGAAACACAGTAAAACACAGTACCTTTGACAATCTTTAAAAAGTTAATAACTAAAAAAAAAAAAAGTCTACCATTTAAGCCTCCAATCTAAGTTGTGCTAAAAGTGATGAAAGTCTATTGACTTCTACAGGCCATGGATCAAGCTCTAAAAACAGTCTGCAGCTACTGTATGAACTCTACAAAGTTAATAAGTATCTAAAAGTGCAGACAGCTACAATGTGAAAAACAGTATAGAGAAAATATCCGAGCTCCCCAAATGCATGCTACTTTTAATTAAAGTTCACAAATATCATCGTATTTAAAATAAATTCCTAAATGAAAATGGTTAAAACTCCACTTTGAAACTATGCTGATTAGCTTTCAGGTATAACTTTGTGTTTTCAGTCCTTCAGCAAGTTGTCTATTTTACTGATAACTATGGCTTTTTCTTTTTTAATAAAGAGATTATAAAAGGAAAATTAGTAAAAACTACAAAACAGGGAAAAAAAATACAAGATCAGTCTAATCATGCAATACATATTCCAGTTAATGTAAATTTTTTTAATGTACTTACCTTTCCTGAAAATCAATGACAGCAAAAGAAGTTTAAAGAAACCACACATGTAAAGAAAATAGGCAAAAAAAAAAGTGCAATATAACATCAGTTTGACTCACAATTAAGAGCTTACCACATCAGTTATATTATTCTCAACTGAGTCCTGATGTTTACAGGCACATGACAACAGAATATAAATGAGTGACAACAAAATAACATTTTAATTAAAATAATTTCTGTCAAGCCATAATATGTTTTATGCAATATATGTAATATATAGAAATAAGATAAAGAAGAAAGCCTCGCCACTTCACGTTTCAACAAGACATTTTTACCATAAACTGCAATCCAAAGTCTCTACTCAAATTTGTGATTTTTTTTTCCTAAAAGAAAACAGGAATTGAATAAAGTTTGGAAGCTAAACATTTAAAATGAAATATCCAGTTGGAAAAGCAACACAGAATACATAATACTGATTAGAACGTAAGGCTTACAGCAGTTCCATATAATGAAATTGATAGGCTTGGGGTTTTTTGAAACTAAATTCATACATTTCACAGCACAAATGAAAATAAGCAATTGTTCCAGTGTGTGAAACCAGAGATCCATGCTTTAAGATCATGCTAATTTAAAATAAAAAGAAATATTCCATGATACTTTAGCTGAAAAAAGAACACCTAATATGAAATATTTTATTTCAGGATTCTCTAACAGTACACTTACTCTGCAAATCAATACATATGCATTTAAAAATAAAAATAGGCAAACAATTCAACTTTGAACTTCAAACAGTTGGAGTAACATATGTAAACAAAACTAAGCAAAATTATTTTAAAATCATCTGCGAACTTTTTTCACATAGATTTTGTAAATTATTTAAAATCAATAAAAAAAGCTTGAATGATATCTTAATTGTAGTATAATTACTTTTATATTATAGAAGTTTATCATTTCATTGAATTAACTAACTGAATGCTTTATGAATGTAAACTAAAATATTCAGGGCATGCTTCAGGTAAAGGTGAATGTTTTTACAACACACACTCTTAAAACAGACTATTTATCATTCTTTGAAAAAGTGGACATGAAGAAACAATACTGTGTGTGTGGCCTACATTACCCTCATTTAATGCACTAAATACAGGTTTTTTAGAAAATCATGCAGTTTCTGCACCATTGATAATCTGACAGTAAGTATTTATTGAAGGTAAAACACTCATTGTCTGTTGTCACTATTTGTTTTAATATATAATCTTGCTAACCAAATGATCTTTAAGCAATGCAGATAAGCAATGGCATGCAAAGGGTCACTTAAATGCCAATTTGACTGTTTCATAAACTTAAGCATTCTTTTCCCATGACTATTCTCAGCTACTTAATTGAAAGTATTATCCATTTACAAACTTCAGACCTCCCATAAAAAGGCTCTCTTCTGTATCCAACAGACCATTCAAGACCCTAAGAACAACAAAAGCTAATAATTAAAGCTGCTTCTCTCACTCTTTAAAAAAAAACTCAGAAGAAGTGAAGAAGCAACTTATGGTATACCTAGGCAAAGCTAGCCATAAAGATGTTAGTAGTGAACACCATAAAATTGAGGAGTCTCACTCGACATGAGACAGGACAAGATTAGTTAAATCAGGACACAAGCTGTACTACTTTCGTAATCTGCACTCCTACTAGAGAATGACAGATGCCACCTATGACAACAGCAATGTAAGAAGCAGTTGTCCTTAAATTACTGCTCTGTGTAAAATCTCCTGAATTTCAGACAAGCACTGACTGTGTAATACAAATTCAAGTTAATGAATTTTTAATATATCTTCTCTATTTAAAGATGATGACTTACAGCTGGCATTGCTTATATTAAATTTGTGGTATGTTCCATTGTTTGTTTTTAATTATTTTGATTAGATTACGCTTGGAATTGTATGGACAAATTCAACCTCTGCATAAGCAACTTCAGTCTCTGCTGCAGTCAAAAAAAAGTTTCATCTGCATACAGCAGGAATGAGCAGGCCCTCTAGATTTTAAAAACTGTAAATCAAATCCATTTCAAGGAGGTAAGTAGCAAACAAACCACCAAGCTAAACTTGATAGATCAGAAATTGCTTAGAACTTTATGTTTCAGATCCATATTTTGGGAGATAGCAATATTTCTTCTCCGTACTTATCTGCCATCATATGTTTTTGTAACTTAACACATTTTCAATATCAATTTCATTATAATGAATTAAGATTAAAGTATTACTTGACATTTGAAGCATGAGTGGGCAGGAAAGACAAACACTGTTGCAAGTTGTGTTCCTCTTGTAGATCTTTCTGAAACTCATTTGGTTTAATTTTTGATATCGCTTTTCCTTCCACCCTTAGCACATCTGTGGATGAAGCCTAAGATGTTCACAAGCAAAAGATAAGCACAGTGTTATAGATGGCAAGCTATACAGATATTTTCATACCCACTCCACAGAAGAACAAGAAGCAATGGTACACAAGAAACCCTGACTAACAGAAAACAAAATTCAGTTAAACAAGAGTAGCATGTAACTACTGTCTTTGAGCAGTAGTTACACCCAGTAACAGTAACACCCACAGCTATTCAGGGCACAGGATATGCAGAAAAGTGTGGTAAAACAAAATGTCCAGTGTACCCTATGATAATCAATAGAATAATCAAAAGAGCATCAAAATTATCACAATTCAGAACTCCTACTCTTAGAAGTACATGAGTACTACCTAAAATTTGAGTAGTATCTACAATTTGTATTTTTATGCAAATTAAGATAGACAAATGTGGTTTAAAGGATAAACTTTTAGAAAAGTTTATTCAAGGTTATGTTTATTCAGTACAGCAATACAAAAGGAATTGCTATAGTTTCCACCCACAGCTGATCATTCCAATTTATTAATGCCAATAATTTTTTTTTTTCCCCCCCACACAGTTAAAACAGACCAGATAACTGTTGAAAAACATTGTATGCATGCAAGCATGCAAGGAGAAGGCAGAAATTAATCCTGATCTTTGATCCCTGTTCCACCAAAGAATTTTGTCATGGAGCAACTCATTGAAGTCCAGGAGCAAGACCAAACAGCAAGGGGAAGGAACCTCTTAAAGATATTTGTTCCCAAGGCATCTACATTTGTTTCATAAACTTGAGCTTCAAAATCTACAGAATATGCTGGAGGCCATCATAGTCTAGAAGAAACAGAAGCCCCTTCCAACTTTAAGCATTTGACAACTCTATTTCCTGCAAGATGTTAAACATCTTCACAAAACAGACTAACTGCAACCAATAAAAAGGATTCATCTGAGCTCCCCCAAAAATGTACCATACGTAATACAGCAAAGCAGGTTCAAGAAAATTAAAAGCTATAACAAAAGCTACATGAAAGATAGAAACAGAACACTGTGGAAAACCAATTGAAAAAAAAAAAAAAAAAAAACCATTTAAATTCTGCAGTACTTACATCAAGTAGAACCAAATGTATTTTATCTTTCCAGGTGCCTATCATGGAAACTGCTTTTTGTTGTAACCTCACTAAACATATGTTTGATGGGTGTTGTTACAACAACACTGCTAGAGCATTACAGAAGTAGCATGTTACCCAAAACAATACTGTCTAAAAACCATCACAGTACCCAAGTACTGTTTAACTAACTGTGAAAATACTGTTAGACAACAGTATATAATTTAGAATATGTAGTTTTAATATAGTCTTAGATATTATAAAAAATATTTGACATTGTATATTGTTTACACATCATTTAGTACCTACTTCTGTAACCAACAGATCAATATATATATTATATATATAGGTATGATTGTAGAGCAATTTCTTACAACTACCTATTGCAAGCATCATTGTTAATTATCTAAAGTCAAGAACAGACAGTACGAATGATTAGAAAAATTTTAAACTATAATTTCTAAATATTGTAAGGACAATGTCAAAAGAATATTATTTCTAATTTAGAAGAAATTTTTCAAATTACTGTTATCATTCATGCTCTTCAGCAGTAGCTATCTAATCTGTCTAACAGAAATCATTATGCTTCCACAAGAACAGATACAACCAAATACTTGACTGTAGAAAAATGCCAGTCAACTGGAACTACTCAGACCATTTAGGGTTTTGCTTCACATTCACTATAGCTCCAACACAAAATGCAGCACCAGGAATGATGGGGAGTTTGTTATCTCCCTGTAACTTACTCTCAGAGTAGCCCACATCCTTGAGCTCTTCAGAACAGGTTCTTAGCTACCCTAAAACTGATGAGGAAACTCTACTATTCTGGGCTCCTAAGGGTATGACTACCACTCTCTTTGCCTTTCTCCGTGCCTTTTGACAAGACACAACCAGAGCCAAACTACAGTCAATGTGAAAAGCTGAAGAAGCAGCCGACACAAGGCCCTTAGGCATGCAAAAAGTTTCTCATTTTGATTAGATCTGTCTTATGACTAGACCTAGAAACAATCTGCTCTCCAATAATATGGATTTCTTGTTGATAGGAATCTCTCTCTCTCTCTCGTCCCCTTTTCATTTTGTTCCCTTTTACCTCCTCCATTTCAATACCTGCATCTGTCTTCATGTACCATATCAAACCTTGTGTTCACCTCTATTTAAGTTTCGGCCAAGGCTACTGAGTATTTTTGGTACATAACTATGTAGTGGAAACACCTCCAATCTTGGTTGTTCTTCACATAATACATTTAGCAAATATGGTAACTGTAAGGTAAAGTAATCATTCATATAGAAGCAGCAGAAGGAAGCACATTAAGGTGGTATCCTCAAAACACCAGAATGATTAAAACCAGCAATATGTGGCCAAAGACATTTTTTGGTCTTTGTAACAAGTTTGTCCTGCCTCTGTAATCTTGGTATATGTTCTTTACTAGAAAAGCTTTAAGTGGTTGATATCAAATGAAAGCTCTTGTCATGTGTGAAACATCACATAACCAAGAGGATGTTGATCATTATGCCATTTTCCAGGAAGGCACACAGTTGTTAAATGTAAATGAGGATTCTATTTATACATTGTTTCATTCCTAATCTTCTCAATCTCATAATGAAAAGCCTAACCCAACATATGACCGAATGAACCTTAATTTATTTTTTCCTCTAACATTAAGCTGCAAGACCAGTATGGAGACCTGTATTATAGAAGAGTCTTTTAAATGGCAGGTGGTTTAAAAAAAAAAAAAAAAAAAGCGCTTACAAATCCCCATATGCTCTAAAACATCAAAACCTCAAGCATGGGAAAACTAACACTATCTCATAATAGTACAAAGCCTGCTTACCTGTTTCACCTGCTTATTATATGTTAACAGCTCATCTGTAGGCTGAGATTCATTTTCTGCTACTTGAGATTCTTTTTGAACAACTGGCATCTTTCAAGAGAAAGGGAAAATCCATTTAGGAGAAGAACATATAGCATTTTCTTAAAAACACATTTTTACACTCCCTGACAAATAATTCATTACAGTATTTATTATTTTCAATTACTCTTTCATGGTACATGCATTTTATGAAGCACATGGATCACTGTATCTATTTTATCTTAAGCCAAATATTTCTTCGATCGAGAACTGGATTTACAAAATCAGTACACTAACAGGCAAAGGGTTTACAATGATCAACACTAAATAATAATATATAGAGAGATTTCTTCTGAAAAGCTTTTTCTACAAATTATACTTCAAAAATGTACAAATTAACATACATCAGAAATGTGTATCAATATATATGGATCCTTTAAAACAAATAAATCAACAACTCTAAACATTAAGCAACATCTCCAAACACATCTAAGCTTACAAATTTAAATTTTAAAAACAATTTGAATGCAAGACAAAGTGACGAGCATTAATATACATGAATATCAGTGAATGCTTTGCAAGTTCATTGCCCTAATCCTCATACTACTTAATAAGAGGGAAATTCTGCATATCCAGTAACTAAAGAATCAAACTCCCAAAGAAAAGAAAGGAATAAGAGACACAAAAGGGATAGAAATAAAAATAAAAGTATATTTATAATTTATGAAGTACCAAAATGTTTTCAAGCACTATTTCCTTTCCTTCCCTGTTTTATCAGTTTAAAATATGATCTACCTATCTTAACAACTCTACAAGCAAATACAAGTACAATTAACTTATTATATTTCAACATTCCTAGATAATGTAGAATGTTACCAGGCTTGCTTGGTGAAAACTTGGCAGGATTTCCTTGCTAGCTTGAGAATCAGTTTTTATTTCCTTACATTCAACTGGGGCCTGCTGCACAAACCAGAGGGAAAGATATGTATATATATATACACACACACACTATACTATAGAGTGCACTATATATATATACATATATAGTGCAATTTTCACTACCTAATAGAACAAAACATCAAATCAATATTCATGCACAAATTAAAGGCTCGGACTTTATTATATATATTTGAAATATACTAGAAATCAACATACACATGAAGAAACAAACTTAGGGTGATCTTTTGAAAAGATTTCTACACATTTCACTCCTTATTTTGTGCATTGTCCAACCAGTAATCTAAAAGCGTATTTTTAATGCCTAGGATTTTTTTGCATGCCATACTCAATTCCATTCTAACAAAACATGTAAAAAGTGTATTCTGAGTTGCAACATTGTTCTGCCTGCGTATTAGAAAATGAAGATGATACGAAAGGAGTTTTCAAGCAAAAAAAAAAAAAAAAAACACCAAAAAGTAAATAGTAAAAAGGAAAAAAAAAAACTTTACTTGCAAAATATTGCATGCATTGGTGATTTTATTTTTAGACAAAGCTCTAGTAAATAGTTACTTTTGACAGAAAAGGCAGAGCTTAATTTAAAAAAAAAAAAAAAAAAAAACAACCTTATTCCATATAACTTTCATAACTATGGAAAAACAAAGGAATGAAACATCCTGGATTAAAATACAGATTCAGCAATACCTTCCCAAACTACACCAAATAATCCTCCTTTTCTTTGCAATACATGCACATTTCCAGACACGGTGACTACAATGGACTATTAATTAGACTCCATCTTAGCTAAGTGGAATTCTTTCCCCCACACAATTTATTATCTAATGCATGAATTCAAAGAGAATTTTTCACATATCCTTTCATTCAAACAGGCTGGATCAAAACCGACAGAATAGGTAGATCAGTTTTCTATACTAATTTCCTTATCAAAATCAAAATTATATGAACAAACAGTATTTTCATGCTATTTTAGATACCTGTACATGTTACACAACTGCTTTTCTTTGCTGGGTGTGGTATTTCTTCTTTTGTTCACTCCCCATGGGAGAATTGCAGGCACAATGCTGTTCTGGTATTTTAACATAATGTGTACCATGTGTATATGTACTATGGGTTGTGTGTTTGTATTAACAAAAACTAAGTCAATTTTATTTAGAAATAAAAGTGTTGAGACCACGGCAACTCTTAATTCCTGTGGGTCCATTCTCAAGCATTCTGCTGATTCTTCCTGCACTGATATTTTGTGACAGAAAATTTTATTGTGCCTTTAAAAAAAAAAAAAATGCCATTTGAGCAGTCATAGCCTTCTGCCTCATTGTAAAAAACAATTTATCAATTTATGGATTTAAGTACCTTCATAACTAACTAAAAATGTTGGAACAGTTTCCAGTGATTTTGATACGTCTTTGGTATCCTTGGGTGCTGAAAAGAAACTTTGAGACTCTTGACATATAGAAAAATCAAGACTTTTTAGTGTTTTTAATAATTATCTCTAAATTCATCTTACCAAAAATTTTCAACTTCTCCTTTAATAGTTAAATGCTATGAAAATAATTTATTTTAAAAGAATTCTAGAATGGTTTTGGTTAGAAAGGATCTTGAAGACCATCTAGTTCCAATCCCCCTGCCATGGGTAGGGGCACCTTCCACTACAACAGGTTGCTCAAAGCTACATCTAACTTGGCCTCAAACACCTCTAGGAACAGGACATCCACGGCTTTTCCAGGCAGCCTATGCCACTGTCTCAGCACCATTGTTAATAACTTCTATATATTTAATCTCCCAGCTCCCTCAGCCTGTCTTCACAGAAGAGGTGCTCCAACACCCTGATCATCTTCATAGCCTTGTTCTTCATTCACTGCAAATGATTTCTCTCTTCTGATGATAGAAAGCCATCACCAATGTAGAAAAGACTCTACATTTATTCTGCCATTTATCAGTCTTGATGTGTGATCATGCAAATACCCTAAAACACTCTTATCTTGGTGAACTTGTATAGATTATTTATACAGGCATTGGTAATCATCCTGTATCCCTTTGAGAAATCTTGAAATCATATGAAATTACAGTTTATCAGATTAAAATCAGTTTGTTCTCATAACAGCATCCCACCAGACTAATCAGGAGCATTCTCCCCTTTTGTTAGACTTCAGGGTAAAAAGACAGTCCATGAAGCCTGCAGCATTTCTTGCAACAAGAGGTGATCATGTGGTAATTATGCTAATAAGCATAAAGAACCAGGATACTGGAAAATGATTGTTGATACAAATCTCATAAACCGCACAACTGGATTATCTTTAGTTAGTTACCTGTATTAGTAACTCTGAAGAGATAAACAGATTAGATTCCAGATGTTCCCACATGTATATCATATAATAAGCATTTCTGATTAGGCAGCTTCTTGTAACATCATTAAAACTGTATATCTTAAAAAAAAACTAATATTTGAAGTAGTACAGGTCAACTGTTCCACAGGGAAAAAAAAAAAAAAAAAGAAAAATCAAACGTATCTCCAGGATTGGTAATGCAAAGGTAGGCAATAACATTGCCTTTGCTATGCTACAATTAACCTTGTTGAGTATAATCAATAACACGCAGTTACAGAATTAAGAATACACTAGAAAAATCATAATACAAGGCTTCATTATTGTGACTCATGAACTTTTTACACATTCAAATAAATAGAAATCTCATTCATTTCCAAGAAAAGAATACATCTTACAGCACTTCAGAAATATATTTTCAGTGAGCCTCCTACCATTTTAGTCAAAAGAAAAAAAAAAATGTATAATTTTCACGTCAGTTGAAATATAAAGAAGCTATACACTAAATACTTAAGATGCTATAAAGTGATGAGCAAATACTTGTTTATATTTGCTTGTAGCTAAAGCAAACAAAACTGTACTTCTGAGAGAGTACTAATATTTTACTGAGAAAGGCTCCTCAAGGCCTCACTTTCTGTTGAGTAGTTGAAGAGTTAGAGATGTGTACCAAAGCAGAAGAATATTTTGTTTGTTCTTTGATGGCATGGTGCACTGTACCATCATCCTTTAATAGAAACATTCAAATCTGATTCTATTTTTCCAGAGAGAAAAACAAAACAAAAAAAGTATTTTCTTTTAGTTACCACCTTCTCATGCTCATCTGAGATACCAAACAATTGATCTGCTGAAAACAATAAGCCAACTAAAAAAAGATGAGTTGCAAACTCATCACTAAGGAAGCTGAACACCAAGAAAATGTATTTCTGGAATGAATATAAACACCCTCCTATGGATACTAAATCCAACATATAACTTGATAACAAGATACTTCAGGGGTGCAACATGCCCCAAGGCAACAAAGTGACTCCAGGCATTGGAAATGATATTCTGATTATAATAAGCATTTCACTTTTTAACAGAAAACGTGATAGGAATAATTATTTATAACCGATTTCCTCCAAGGAAACAGGGCTAAGTACTAATGTCCCACAGAGCTGGCATCCCATTTCCCATGTAATGTTCTTTGTAACACTGTGGGGGGAAAAAAAAAAAAAAAAAAATGCTCAGACTCCACAGCAACAGTACAAACTATCAATACTAACCACTCATTAATTCAAAATAAAAAATAAGATAAAGAGAATAAAATACTTTTTTCTTTTTTTAGGGAATAAAAATCACATTTAATTCTGAAAGCTTGTTTTCATTTTAGTAGTTCTGTTCTATTTCATTCAAAATAATATACTCCTTATTTCATCAGAGAAGACAAGTCTTGAAACTCAGTCTAAAGCAAACAAGTCACACATAATAATAATAATAATAATAATAATAATAAAGAATTGCTAGAGTCCTCATCCTATTTGTAAGATCACTTCAGTTCATAAGACGCCAGCTGTAAATGCCTTTAATTTAAAAAGAGCAATCAGTAAGTGTCATTCATATGCATTTTCCAAAAATCCATATCTAAAAAAAAACACTAAACAACTAACAACTGGACCAGAAAGTCTGATCACCAAGTCTCTACTTCTGTTTTACTTTAAATTTGATTGATATGTTTAGTTTTCACAGTACTCCAGAGATCACTTTCAAAGCTCAGAGTGCAGTAACTCCCAATACAAACAACAGAAAACTCAGTTCACTTCAAATCAAGAACACCAGGACCTGATAGAGGTCAGATTTTGAAAATCTTACCTATAAAACATAAAATACAATTGTAAATGAGTAAGACAGGACAAGCAATGTAACATAATTACCGCAACGCTAATGACTTTTTTTTTTTGTAAGTTGAACAAGAAATTGTTTTCCATGTCTGGGATTTTCTTTAGTCTTCTTCATTTCCCAATCTCCTCTGATGCCTTTTGGCAAACTTCAACCAGACTTAACAAGAGAAGAGACTCAAATTATTACATTCCTAAAATCAGAGTAAAGCAATGAAGAGGGATCATACAATGCTGCCACACTGAGGAAAGGCTTCTCTCATTTCAACCCAAATACACACCAGAAAATATACAGAGTAAAAGGCATTCTGAGTACCTGAGCCACACAAACAGCTCTGAGAACAAAAGTAAATCATAGGACATAAATCTATTAGAAATGCAGTTTCAGACTATTGCTACTCAGACATAATTAAATCAGTTCTGCATTCTTTTTTGTCTTAATTTTTTTTTTTAATCTAACCAATGACAATCAATCTCACATTAAAGAAATATTAAAGTACTGCACTTACATTCTGTGCAAGATACTCTGTAATCATAAAAGGTAGCATTTTAATAGCTGTAGGAAACAATTTCCATCATGATTTCCTAAAACACAAACACATCAGTCTTCCATATGATTCCTTGCAATGGCAGTTCCTTCTTGTAAGTATTGCATCCTATATGGGTGTACTCCACCCCTCACAACAAAAGCTAGTATGCATACAAAGTATGATAGCTATTTTCATAACACGAGTTTCAGCCCTTGTGAAATGGTTCATTCTAACAAAACCATTACTCTTGCTCAGAAAAGACAAAGTACTGAGAGTAATTTACTAGTAAATCTAAGTTACTAGTTAATAAATAAACCGACAACAACAAAAGAGGCTACCCTCTGGTGAGAATCCAGGAAAGTCCTCTATGATATTGATGTTACTGGTACCTCTTACTGTAAGTGAAGGGACTCTTACAACAGCTGATACAATCTACTTAACTACAATAATGAAATTGTTTTCTTGAGACTTCGTATGCCAAACTGAAAGGAACAATGCTTCAGGTATACTTAATGCACTTGATCATCTCTTAGACTGGAATTGCCATCTTAAAAAGGGGGAAAGAGAAAAAAGAAAAAGCTGTACTAATCTATAAATAGACTAGCAATTCCCACCCCAGAGGATTTATGTTTTAATAGATTTTGATATCGACTCATTTTCATATGTTAAGGGAATTAAAGATCTGGCAGAAGAAACAGTGAAGAATATTCTATGGTACATTAGTGTTTGCGTCTGTTTGTTTTGTCTGGCTTTTGTGTTGTAGGAGCTGGAAAAAAATATACAACTCCTATAAAAGTAATATTTATCTAAGACAAAAATATTGCTCTCGTTCTGGTTCACCTACTTCCATTTTTATGTTGCATTTCTGGCCAAGAACACTCTCCAGGAGTTCTTTGATCATCTGTTCTGAGGAAGATGGAGAAGTAGACTGCGGGGAAGCGATTATTTCATCAACAATCCTTGCAACTACTTTCACAGGCAATGCTGCTGTGGAAGTAGGTTCTTCAGGTTTGCTCTGCTGGAAGTTCTCATATATTTTTGAAGTGTCTAGTCTAGTCACATCTCTTACCTCTTCCAACTGTTCCTGAGCAGACCTCACACTTGGCTGCTTGCTTCCTTTTCTCAGCACTTGTCCCAATTCAACACATAAATCTTGCTGCTTTAGTTTTGAAATCTCTTTGCTTCTCTTCTTACAGCTTTCCCTGGTTAATTTTCCCTTCCTGGGAATGTTTTCATTTCTCTCTAAGTCTGCAGAGCTAAACTCATCACTATCTTTAATCACAGTACCTATTTTTTCAGCTTTATCATTCCTTAAGTTGTAGAGATTCGCCTGTAGCATACGTGCTCTATCCTTTACTTTACTAACAGTTTTTGTCTTCTCCAACAAGACCGGGGAGTTACTGGTGCAAAAATTAGATCCGCCATCTCTTAGCTTCTGAGGTGGAATTTTTTTAGCAGTACCTGCAAACGATGCTATTACTGGAAGTTTTACAGTGCAACTTCCATGACTATAAGTGGCATTTTCACTGTGACCTTTTTCAGAGCAACTTTGATTTTTGTCATCACTGTCTTCTCCCAGAGTTCTATTTCTGTGGTTCATTACCCTGTGACCAGAAGCTTGTTTTTTCATTTTTCTTCCGAGAATCTCCTTACTTTCTGAGCAATTAATAAGGAATATTTTTATTTATATTCATGGCAGGCTTATGTGAACTCTTTGACCTCTGGAGAGGATAATATTCTTAAACAGTGCAATTGACCTGGTGTTAAATCTTGCACATGCTCACACTCCTAGAAGCAGTAACTATTGCTAATTTGATCTTCAGGCTGTCCCACTGAGATTCCCCACATACAGCCTGGTCCTGTAACCACAGCCAGCTCTTCCAGATAACTCAGTTCAAAGCGCTCACATTTTCCAGCAATTCTCTCCTGCAGTACACAACCTGTAAACTCAAACAGAAATTAGCTTTTATACTTCATATACCAATGCAGAACCCAATCCTTTTAAGAGGACCGCATTTTGCTGAAGTCCCTACAGATTTCATTATGACCACCACATAGTGCATATCACTAAGCACCAGTGACAGTACCATCTACCAAGGGAAAGAACTGAACTGTTGCTATCTTTGGGAGCATAAACCAGAAGTCGCACAGAAACCCCCAGCAGAGGAAGAAATGAGGCAGGCTGAAGCTCTGCACTTACTAAAGTAACTACAAAGGCTTTCCACCTACAAAAACAAGTGACCTCAGGCCCCTGCCAGCCCCCTTTCTCCTCCCCCCCCCCACAGCAGGAAAAGTACCTCCCACGAGGACACGCCAGCAGCCGCGACACAGCATCCAGCAGGCACAGCACGGCCCCCGAGACCCTATAACCCCGCCGCTCGCTTCTCCCCGCCCAGCGCCGCGGACGGGGCCACGCCGCTCCCGTCGTACGGAAGGACGCGCTCCGTAACCAAGCAACCGGGAGGCAAGAGGGTCAGCAGGGAGGCGAGGGCCCCCTACCGGAGGGGAGGACACCTGCGTGTGCCACGCAGTCACACACACTCCTGCTGTCAGAGGCACGGCTGGGGCGCAAGGGATAAACCCAGCTGCGTGCGCCTGGTTAACCATCACCAATAGCTTTGTCAGTTATTAGTAGGATAGGCTTCTTGCAGATCTTATGCAGCGTTAATGTGTCTGGAAGTCAGAAACAGCTCTCTTAGGGGAATTGTGGGAATGATGGCACGTGTCAAAAATCACCAGGTAAAAAGAGCCCAAAAAAAAAAAAAAAAAGCCAAAGCAAAACATAAATTAAAGGAAAGTGTGAAAAGTACAGGTCTACAAGGTCTTCACAGGGGCCCTTAGGCAGTTCATAGCTCATAAAGAGGGAAAATGGGCTTCACAGAGCCATGATGTCTTGGGTTGGAGGGGACCTTTAAAAATGAACTGCTTTTCAGGAGTCCCTGGGCTGTAACACTTCACGAAATTAAGTTTGCAACTAGTGTATGCCTTTTTGGTGGGTAAAAAATAAAATCTTTTTGTTGTTGTTTGGATTACCAAATACCTCCATGTAACAAGGGGATGTTGCAACTATTGGCACAGATTGGATTGAAATAAGCCACACAACTGATTAAAAGCCTCCACTGATCTAATGGGAAAGTGTCTTCCATTGTCCTCTTCTTTCTTTGTGGCTTTCAGCTTCAGCTTTTTTCCTTCTTAATTGCATTCCTGGAGCCCAAGGGGGTGGCCAATGCACTTCCTGCAGACAACATGCCTTGCACCAGGTTTCATGGCCAAATTTTGGCTTCCTGAGGCAACTAAGGACTTGTTAAAGATTGAAAACTCATTAGCCAGTCACATTAAAACCAAATTTAAAGTAGATTTTCTTCTTTTTTATTGTAGATAACTGATGAAAGCCATGTAACACACCCTAGGAACACTATCTATTTAATATTACTTAACTTCTCGTGCTCCCTAGCGGGAATATCAGAATTGCAGGAAGAGGAGTGGGTGGAAAAGAAAGCAGTTGTTCTGTGTGGAAGGATTCCCACTGCCTGTCCAAAATATTGGAGATGTTCTGAACAGGAATGAAAGTGTTTAATTCCCTCATTGAAGATAAACCTGATCAGCAGTTTAATGTAGTTCTGAGTCAAGAGGGAAGATCAATTCCAAACTAGTTACACAACCAGTGAAGCCCCAGCAATTTGGTTTACTGAGAGCAGCTCCTCTCTGCAGGAGTCACAGTGGGACATAGGAGGAAAAGCCCTGCATGTGAAGAGGTATTTGCATCAGGAAGTTCCAGGAAGGAGCTGCTGAATGGCAAGAAGTATTTGCATCAAAAGAAATGTTAGAAAGGAGAAAAAATCCTTAGGCATGGATTTCTTCTTGAGGTTAATAGCTGTGGTAAAGTGGTCGTGTGCAGCTGGAAAACAAGCATTCTGTATTATCTTACTGTGTCTGCTATTCATCAGCTCTGCTTGTAGTAAAGCAGGGACTGGCTACAGGAAGATGCAGTTAAGTTGCATGAAAGGTTCAAGCAGTAGTTCAAAAATGTTTCCTGTGCTACAGCATTGAGGTTCTCAGTTTTGTAGCAAAGGGAATTAGCACCCAAGGGTGGCTGATGACAAGTTAAATCCAAAATGTGATGTTTTTTACCTACTAAGCCCCACACATTGCTTAGCATTCAACCCAGGAGTAAGTATATCCTCTACACCCTCAGCTTGAGCTCTGAAGATGACAATGAGCCCCAATACACAGAAATTAATGGAAATCTTTCTCCCATTTCCCCAGGTATTATTAGTATGTTCCCTTCCTTTCATAATCACAGTGCCGCTTGAGACCAGCAAGTTCTCTTTTTTTTTTATTAATGTGAAGTATTTATTTAAACAGGTTAAGCCTCATCTATGTAGCATGCAAAGTCCAAAATTTAATGAGCAGATGAATCCTTATACTGAGCAAATGAATCTAGCTTTGGAAAACCTTGTGCAATTTTATTCCCTTGGTACACATTATTATTATTTATTTTAATTACATCTTACCAGATCACTAAGCTTTCTAATATCACATAAATTTTGCCATCTAGGTTATTTGTCCATAAATGTTACAGGGAATTGTGGGGTTTTTTTTCTTTCTAGGAAGAAAAGCTGTTATTAAAAATTGTTTTTGTTGGTTGGAAAAAGGTCAGAAAGCAGCTTCTTTTCTCATTTATCATCTGAGTCCGCACCCCGGTGCACACATTTGCCATAATACAATTTCAAGCTGGAGTGAGACATTGATGGCATTGTCCCCCAGGCTTTGGAAGGACGCAGACATGAAATCAGGAGTAAGTATTGTGCTCTCTGGAAGCCATCTTGATCTTGGCAATTGTGAATAAGGGGAAGAAAGCACATGAAATATGCACAAATGGTATGTGCTGCCCAGCAATGCCAGAAAGAGTTCCTGTGAAGCTAAATAGCGATCACTTAAAGGAAAGGCAAGTAAGGGCAGAATTACATTGTTAGTTCTGTGGCTTACACCCAGATAGCCACTAGAGGCTGGGCCTCACCTTAACATCCAGCTGCAGCTGGCTGTGAAAACTTTTTCACCTGAGAAAGCATAAATTCTCAGCAGCTCTGCTGGGTGCTCTTAATCTCCCTTTGGTACAGCCAAAGCATGCCCTGCCTCAAAATGGGACTCACTCATTCAAGGCTATTTATCAGTGTCCAATATACCATTTCAGAGACCAGGAACTCAGATTACGGGTTACTGCTTGCTCTTTAAGGGCATCAACATCTTTGTTTTAATGTTTCCAACACATATATGTATAAAAATGGCCATAAATACTCAGAGAAAATCAAATGATTATCATCTAAAATACCAATCAGTGAAGTATTGCCACTGTGGACATAGAACAAACTTTTATGACAATTACACTGTAGGAACAATAATCTGCAGCAGAACAATGGAGTAAACATGTAGGTAGCAAACAATCTCTTAGATCAGACAGTGTCAATACTGAAAAGGCTTTTGATTAGTCGCAAGAGTTTGATCCAGCTGAGCAGAAGAAAACACCTTTTTTTTTTCGGTGATCAATTCATGCTGAATCCCTTGAGCAGTAAGCACAAGCATAGAAAGGTTTTGCAGAATTAGTATTATAAATCATACATTCAATCCCTCTGTGAGTGTTGAAAGCATCGTCATGCTTCTAATCACTATATCCTCTCTTTGACGCATTACAAATACGCACACCCAGCCCCTACTAATCTCCATTGTGATTGTGTGATATCTGTACTTGCTGGTACTAAGCCAGAAGAAGTAGTTAAATTTTTTCTTCCTCCTATGATTTTGAGCTTTGCTTCCCCCCACACAATTGAAAGACTTTGTTTAAATAGTGATGTTTCCCTTATAATTCAAAATAAAACGCAGTAAGAAGATGGAAACAAGATGGAACCTTTTCATTTTCAACTATACTTGAAATGATAAAATCAGGTTGTCTTGAGTGATCATGAATCCCAGGTTTATTTTTTGGTATGATGATAATGTAATATTTTCAGTTATGTGCCATTTTATTATAGAGCCCAAGAAAAATTACATGAGTTTCTTCTAGCAGCCCATCACTCACAGCCTTTATTATAGGCACAAGGTCAGAGGCACTCCTGGCTTTAAAAAGGGCTGTAAGCAATAAACAGAGAAATTACAGCAAAGCACCTGCCGAAGTCTTTGTTGGGTTCAGCCCTTTACTTGCTTTAGTTCTAAAATTTGATCATATTATCTCTGTTCTCCACTGTCTTTCAGTTAATACTAGAAAACAGCAGGTTTTCCAGACCCCTATTCCTGTCCAACTCCTCTTTTCTCGTAGGACAGCAGCTTGACTGTGGATATATAGAAAGATACAAGTGTGTGTTTGTAGATCTCGTAGGTTTCACAGCTGGAGTATCAGCATTGGGGAACATAGAAATCCCATTTAATCACAAGAAAAATTTTCACATCTGCTCTGTTTCTTCAGCAAAAGGACATGTCCTCCAAGGGGTGAAAAGAGAGATCTGCGGAGGCTGAAGTTTCTGTTGTATCTAAGGGAAAGGTTAAAAAAAAACACAGAGCGAGTAGTGAATGGAATATTCCTTGGTATTGATCCTGAAAAAAGGCAAAAGATTGTAAGTTCAACAGATAACAAGAAAGCCACCTTCATCTAGCAATGAAATTATTGGGCTGGAAGACTAAGTTTCTCTTTGGAGGAGATGAAGGAAAGCAGCGCTGGATTCTCTCCCAGTCATCCTACCTTAAGTTACTACCTAAAAAGGAGTAACCCTGAAACCACATGAACTTCAGGAATATTCTGACACCTGCCTCATTGCCTGGGAAAGGGTGGAGGAGGAATGAATTGCATCTGCCCAACCTGGCTCTCCTTGTCTCGCCAGTAGTTGCACAGAGAGCAGAGTCTGTGTGGAGGCAGAAGGGAAGGCATGTGATGAGCAAAGTCACCTTCCTGTTGCCATTGCTTTAAATCTGCTCAGCAGGAAGATTCACCCCCAAAATGCCTGAAGAGCAGCTGAAGTTCAGACCGACTGCTGGGTGAGCCAGCCACTCTCCAAACTGCTGAACAACCGCTGCTCCTGAGGAGTCCCAAAATGCTTCTGAATCCAGATCACCCTCTACTTTCCCATAGAAGTGAGTTGACTGTCCTATTTTACAAGTCTTGCTTATGATTTCATGCTGTTTAGAGTCTCACTTTCAACATAAAATGTACAACTATCGGACATTGTTACATAGAGCCTCTATGCATCCTTTTTCAGGGCAGATATCATGCATGTCCCATGAAGGAGAAAATGGCCAAAGTGTTTCTGTATGTATGTGATCACACACTGCCACATATCCCACAGTTTCTGGGTGTCCTTGTTAATGCAGCTCAAAAAAAGTGCAGTTAATACAGACAGAATTAATTTGTGTTCT